AACTTTGAATATTAGCCCCTTCCCTGGCTTTTTTTAAACAATGGCCATAATATGCTGACATAAAACTCTGAGTACGCCACAACAAGTAAGGGAATAACAGATTGCCGCTGAGACTACTGGCCCCATTACACTTTGCAATGTATGCTGTCACAAAAGAACCGATAATCATGAAAGAAACACGGTAAAATCTTTGGTCCTACAATCAGATGCCAGGTCATTTAACTAAAACAAATGCAGTCTAATACGACAGTCCTGCCAAAAATGCTACCTTGATGAAGGTTAAAATGTTTTTGTTGAAACTCTGGTTCAACTGTTTGATCATTCCAGAGGATGTGGTTTGTTCTGCTGTTAAAGTGTATTGCATTTTACCGAGATGTTTTTGTTATGTCGCCTACACTCATAGATATAAATGAGGTGGACAAAATGATCATACAGTTGAACTAACAGCTCTCTAAAACCATTTGAACAAAAACGTAATGCTATAACCTTCACCTGGGATTCACTGAAAAATCTGACATGCCTCAAAACTAATCTCATAAACTTTGTGTAATATGGGTCCAGTGAAATCTTCGTCACAAACTATGTCAAAGTGATATACACCGATCAGCCAAAACATTAAAACCACTTACAGATGAAGTGAATACATCGATTATTTTTGTTCCATTGCACTGTTCTGCTGGGAAACCTTTGGCCCTGGCATTCATGTAGATGCCGCTTGATGCGCTCCACCCACCCGAACACTGTTGCAGACCAGGTATCCCTCCTCATGGCAATGACACTCCAATGGCGATGGCCCCCCAGCAGGACAATGCCCCTGTTCAGGAATGACCCAAGGAACGTGACAAAGAGCTCAAGGTGTTGACCTGGCCTCCAAATTCCCCATATCCCAATCCGAGCGAGCATCTGTGGGATGTGCTGGTACCGCACCTTGTAACCCACAGGAGTCAAAGGATCCTCTGCGAGACACCACAGGACACCCCCAGAGGTCCTGTTTCCATGACCAAGTCTGAACCAAGGGGGCCCCACTGTGGTTCATGGTGTCTCTGCTGTACCAGCATGTACCACAAATACTCACGCAAGGTGGTACCTGGGGAATGTGGAGGCCAGGTTGATGTCTTGAGCTCTTTGTCACGTTCCCCAGGTCATTCCTGAACAGCTTTCACAGTGGGGCATTATCCTGCTGTTGAGGGGGCCACTGGTCTGCAATGGTGTCCGGTTGGGTGGAGCGTGTCAAGTGGTATCCACATGAATGCCAGGGCCAAAGGTTTCTCAGCAGAACATTGCACTGTAACAAAATGCTCAACGTTATTCACCTCACCTGTCAGTGGTTTTAAGTCTTTGGTTGATCGGTGTACAATGAACCTGCAAAATTGCCGTTACTGCACAGGAAACTGTCCCACCACAAACCTTAATGCATACACATCAGAATGGCCTCAACATGAAACTAAAATATTAATTCAAGTGGTGGCTACTAACAGCACTGTTCCATGAAATCAGGATCTAAAGCTGCTGTAATATGACGTGTTGCCAAACTACTGTAACATCACATCTTTTACTTGTTTCAGTTGCCATCTAGCCTGCAACCTCACGTCAACCTGAACCGCTGGACTTGGCCGCCTCCTGCGCGTCCCTCTCCATTAACTGCTTGCTGAGGCAGGATGATGGGAAATATGACATGGGAGCTGTGCCATGTGTGTGTGTGTGTGCAGGTACATGAACATGACTGATAGGTTTGGTGCCACATTGTGACAGCTGCTGGGACTTCCCAGAGCAGGTGTGCATTAGACTGAGGGCATGTTTCTGGATGTGGGATGCTTAAGTGGCCAAACGTCCCCTGACAACAGTCCTCTCACCTCACCATCAGGGCAGGTATCCTGTCACACGTCCTTGCTTTCTCTGTTTGCTTAGACATCCCCGTGGTTGCTCTAGACACAATTGGTTCTTATGTAACTCGAGTTTATGGCGTTACATAAAATGCAGATGGATAAATAAATGTTCACGCTGCAGTGAGCCCTCCACTACACAACGAAAAATAAGAGGTCACTGAACTGAGTGCTTTATTCTATATTATATTAATGGCAACTCAAGTTACATATGTGACTCATATCTGCATGCGCTCTCCTGTTTTTATCTCATAAATGAAACACGATTTAAACTAATGTCCTGTTTAGCCCCACTCTGCTTTGATGTACTGTCCATACATTTGAGCCATAGACCTAAGCTTCAGCTTTTTTAACCAGTTTCTGAAGATTTAACTTTACATGTAGTAATTATTTAATTGCATTTAAGCATTTAATTGGAATTAATTAACTGGAAGTGTCTTTATTTTACCTCAAATTACTGCCAAAATACATCAATATTTTGAGGAAACCTCCTAGGAAATTACTGGTCATTTACAGACTTGTAAAATAAAGTGATACCAAGAAAAATCCCTGGCAATCTTTGAGAAACGCAGAACCGTTATAACCCTTACGCAATTAAAACAACACTTCACCTGCAAATGACCACTTGTATATTAATTACTCAAAACATGTAACCTCAATTTCGTGAACAAAAAGGCAAACATTCTTCATGAATGGAAGTACACGTGGACGACATTTAACAACAGATGCATGCATTTCCACTCAAACAGCAAGATTTAAAACATGTCATGACAAACGTTCTCATGCACGGCCGAGAAGCGTGCCTGGACACATGCCTGAGTTCATCTGAACCCTGCTCATATGCACGTGCATGCCCAGGCACACTCAGGACCACTACTTATCGGTGGACATGTGATACTGTAGTATAATCCAAGTTTTATTTATTCAGTTGTATGCTCAGCACTTCCCAAACACATGCATTTTTACTCAAATGCTACAATATAAATACACCTCTGCCTTCGAGAAGCACACCGTCAGCTTACCTGAGCGTGCATGTGTGTATGAACTCAGTCTGAGTGGAGCTCATCCCATGTGTGTGGGCACGTTATTTGGCCGTGAATGAGACCATTTGTACACTTGGGTTTTTTCTAATCTTAATTTTTTGTAGTGACACACATGTTTGGGAAGTACTGCGCATACAGCTGAATGAAAGAGACTTGAAATATACTGCAAGTTTTGATATAGTTTTGCTGTTGTTAAATGTGGTCCCCATTTACTTCAATTCATCAAGAATGGTTGCCTTTTTTGGATTCTTAGTTCATCTTTAAGAAGGGATGCGTAAACAGTTTTTTTTGTTTCATTTGTTTTTTAAACAAATTCAAGGTAATGCAGTGAGCTCAATCTTTAACCTAGTTGTGACTGTAGTACCTGTAAGTGAAATATCTCTTTGCTGATTTTCTACGTTAAAATTGAAATATAATGTAAATTAATCATTATAAAAATAAGTGTAATAAACAGTAAAATGTAATTTTGCTGATGCGTCACACAAGGAGATGAGTCACTTCTGTCCAACTACAGTCACAACTTGGAGAGAATCTTGTAGTTGGCCAACAGTTTTAATCCCATTGGACAATGAGTATTTTAAGACTCTCAGATATTAACTTTCAAACTGCAGCAAGCGCAATTAAACAACCTTCCGGACGTTTTAAAGATTGCCAGGAATTTATCTCTCAAAAGAATGAAAGCTTCATCCTGCGACTCGAATGTCAAATGATTTACTAAATTTGGTTTAAACCACTTAAATCTCTTGGCTCGTAACAACTTCTGTAATATGTAAATTACTAGCTAAGAAATTCTGTTAGCACTGTCCAATCAAATGGAATCAATGAATTTGTAATTCCTCCACCTGCCATACATTCCTGTTTGATGTGATGCTGTCATCACCCCCTATTATGTAATGTTATATTGTTTCATAGTTTCAATTTATTATTAGTCTATTTTTATTAGTTATCTGTTTTGTTAGAGCTTCCAAAGCTGCAATGATTAGTTGATCAATTGATCAACAGAAAAATAACTACTATGGGAACAATTCTGATAACTGAACAATCATTTTAGTGATTTTCTAAAGGAAAAAAATTATAATATATATTATAAAAAATAAATAAACGTTTAACCAAGAAAATAATGGGCAGATTACTCAATAAGGAAAATCATTGTTAAATGCAGCCCTACAGGCCTCTAATAATTTCTCTGTTTGATTGTGTAGATTGAATATGTAACACTACACTTGATTTGATCAACTATTTAAACAGGAAGTCACTGTAGCATCACAAGCTCTGACATAACTGCTAAACATAAGGAGGCCTGGAGATTTATTCAACTTATCAGACAATCATTTGTAAGTAAACTGTGGTTATTACTTTGTTTAATTCATATTTATACATGGAGAAATATCTGTGTTTCAGATTTCAGCTGCTTATGTTAGAAGTATTTACGCAGTATTAACACTTCTGTTTTATTGGGTGTCATTTTTGTGAAATGTAATTTAACAATTTTGATCAAGTGTCTGGTCAGATATGTTAACTATAATTCATAATCACTCTCTCGGTCTGCAGGAGGGTGCAAATATTTAGAAACAACTAGTTCATCCCTGTGTAACAAGGGGTTTGTATGCGGGACTCTGCTTTTATTTAGAGCTGCTGCAGCTGGCTCCATATATTATGAGTCTGTACGCAGCACTGTACAGTAAATGCTTTGTACTTTATGAATACAACTTCCTGTCAGTGTCACAGCGCATTACTCTGAATAAAGTCAAGTAAACACGTGTGTGTTCTTACTGTAACATCACCTGTGTGGATGCAATGCCTTGTGCCAGTCATGCGCTCAGACCCTGAATGAGCCTCATTTTCTTCATGCATTCATGCATGCGCACCGTGATGCACAGGTGATGTGTTTGTGGCCCTGTCGATTCAGGTGCATGATTCATGAATTGAAGTCAATTTTTGTAAATGAGGTCACGGTTGTTGTAAGAAGGCTGGGAAATGCACGGCCAGGAACCAACAGCCTGCATATGTTTAACTGACTTGGCTGAGAAAAACAACCCGCTGGTGTTCATGAGGTGACATCATGCTCACTCACCTTCAGTCTCTTGAAGGAACCGTTGTTGACCACAGCTGCCCATCAGCTCGTACTTGCTTTTTTCTTCCGCCTGTGAGACACAAAGACAGTGAGCACTGTTGATTATAATGGATCGGTGGACACGTCGTATTTACAGACAGAGGCAGATATTCAGGATTTACTGAGAACTCAAGGCTGCGTCTTACATGTGGAGACACTGTCTGCAGTGGCTCATCGTTATGGATGGATAACCATGCCTTTTAAATTGCGGCCATGTAATCTCTGATTCCAGACAGCCACTGTAAGCACAGCTATTGTGGTGTGAAATTTGATGGTGGAGTGCAGCCATAGTGCCATTAGTCTCACTGAAAGGCCACCATGCACACACAGAGGAATTCCTTGACTGACCATAGTCATGCTGAGAATGAATGACGCCAGAACATAAAAGTGGATATCTGCAGAAAGCATCAGCTGATTACTGTATACTGGTGTTTACTTGTACATGTACTTCCTTTGTTCCTATAATTTAGATGAGGATGACTGATGTCACTCCCATGTCTGCGCATTTAGTGTGGATCCAGAGAGCAGTCAGCTGAGCTCAGACAACAGTTAGTTCAGACCAATTACTTTGATGGGACAGGAGGGATTCAAGCCACAACAGCACTGGGACTTTTAACCACACATGTATCACTCCGCTTCACAGGTCTAACTGTAAACATTAATTAGCCTACATAAACAGTTCTTGTAACAAACTTAACGCCACAAAGATGAACATATTTCCTCAAATCAAAAATCATCAAAATCATAATCTGTTGTCTCTTAACACCGCTAACCAAAAAAACAGCACTTATAGAACTGTTGTATAAAAGCAATATTACACTTAAGGTCATGCTGTTGTACTGAATATCAGCACAGCTGTGATCACGACCGAATCACAGCTGTGCTGATATTCAGTACAACACTAGCTCTTGTGATATTGCTTAAATAAAGAATGAAAGAAGGTGGAAACTGCTAGCATGGCTACAAGTTAAAAAACGCTCACCTCTAAAGTTGATAATCAACATGTTGAATCATGGTTGTTTAACCCTTACTCAAATGGCAATGTAAAAATCTCATCTAACTCTTTAAAGGAACACGAAGAAGCATATTTTCTAAATACTGAATTAGTCCTTTAAATGAAGCAACAACAGTCAAGGTCAGGTTCAACCAGTTCAGCCCATGTTCCTGTCCAAAAGTTGTACTGATGTGTCCTATAATGCTTTTACTTTTCATTATAGAGGTCAATATGTCAATTAATCAGTCCCTCCAGGATCTTGAGGCAAAAAAACCTTGAATTTGCAGACAATTTTGTCAAAAAGTCACATAAAAATTGCGGCATTTTTATGTGACTTTTTGCGGGAAATTGTGGCTAATGACAAAAGGAGAAAAAAATAAATAAATTTTTTTAAAACTACGACCTCTTTATTTGCGACGTTTTGGTACTAGAGCTTCATTACTACCTCAAAAAAAAATAAGTCATGTAATCACTAGGGTTGGGTCGGTATGAGGGGAAAAAAAAAAAAAAAAAAAGGGTCCGGTTTTTGTGAAAAACCGCATCAAGTCGGTAATACCGGATTTTCGCCACACAAATAAAAAACGACCATAGGACAACAGAGTGACAGTAACATGTTGTTTCTTTTATTCCTTACAAATAAATTTTGCAGCTTACTCAATCAGTGCAAACAAGGGTTGCCTCCTTCGTCTGGCTCAAAGCCAAAGTGTTGCCATAATGGCGCATTCTTTGATTTCTTCGAGACTAAATTGTCCGCCATTATCAACTCCCCAGGCTACAGTAGAAGCCTCGGCGCATGCGCACTTGCACCCCCTAGCTCAGTCCCTGCCCCACCACCACCACCCTCTCTCTCCTGCTCGCTGTGCGCTTGGCAAAGAGGCAGACACAGGTGCCCACAGACTCGGGCGTACTATAAGCGGAGTCAAGCGCACTTCCGCGTTGTAGTTTCCTGTAAAAATGTCCGTGAAAAATCCCTGTGATGTGAAAAATACATGCCGAGCAGTCTTGTGTGACACTGGTGCACTGGTCGTGCTTTGAGCGCACAGGGCTTGCGGACGTCCGCTTTCACCGGGCGGACCTCCGTGGAGTCCGCTCCGCCTACGTTCCACCCGAGTATGCGGTCCGGTCGGTCTCAAAAAAACAAACAAACAAACAAAAAAAAAACGGTCCAACCGAATTGGTATTACCGAGAACAGACCCAACCCTAGTAATTACTTGCTACAATAATCATAGTGAATATTACAAAAATAGCTGCAAATGTTTTTTATAGTTCTCTTCTTTAGTTTTATTTAATTAGTTTCAAAACATGGACTCCAATAATGTTGCAAAACATCCTGAGTGAATATTGTAGCTCTCAAACCCGACAATGTGACTGTAAAACAACATGTAGGCTACACATTCACTTTAGTTGTTCTTTTATCTGTATGTATCTGTATATCTGACATGTATTAAAGTGTTACATACCTTTTTAGGCTTCAACACATATTGTATGTATTTAAACAGTGCAAATTCTGATGTCAATACAGAGCGTTTCTCCATACTGCAATGCGATTAGCAGGATTTGATGACATGTCTGATGACGTCGCATGCGTGAAAAACGCGGAACAATCGCAGGACTTTTGACAGATTGCAAGCCCCCACAAAAATTGCGGACTTTCATTGAATTTGCGTTAATTATTGTGATCGCAAGACTGCAATTTTCTGGAGGGACTGACTAAGATATGTTTAGGGATGGAACGATATATGATTTTATCATGGACCGTAATAAAAAACACAATAAGTTGATTGTGGTGAATTTCTATTTTCACGATAATCGTGAGTGTGTCTCCAGCAGCACCGAAAGACTGCTGGGAAGAGACTCTGCAAAACAGTATACATACACACCAACCTCAATAACAAAAAGGATCTTCATCAATCATTGGCATGTTTCATACCAACAGATATGATGCCATTTCAAGGAGCCAAAAAGCCTCGCTTTTTAAACTGTTTTTTCCTAAAAAGGATGTTCACTAAAAAGATGTGTCCTCTCTGTGATGTAATTAAAATATTTTTTTTTTCTTAACGTAATGTGATTCCAGTATGTCTTTGTGCCATTTTAACAGCTTCAAGCGTATTTCGATGGTTATCAGGACAATATTATGAATCTCAATTATTTTGGCCAGATTTATATCATCCCATGCCTAACCACGTTACACACTCAGAGTTATAACACCAACAACATTCAACAGCACCACAAACAGCAGCCTCCAATATGACCATAAAGTTGAAACAACACCTGACTAGAACATCATTAAATGGCAACTATGTGATGTCATATCTCCAACTCTACTGAAGTAACACCTCAGAGGACAGTTTGTCTCATCACAGACACACTTTGAAATCCAAAGCATAAAGTTATGCTATGTTTAATTTCAGATATACCTCAAGCCTCTTTTAAAAACAATCGGTATTCCCATGATGTGAAACGTTCCCCCCTAATGTTTAGCTGAACACAGAGCACAGTGAGTTACACAGCCAAAATGTGTAAGTGGTTGATAGCATAAAGCGGATTAGAGAGTTTTGGATTGGCCTACCTCTGAGTTCCTCTCCAGGCCCCGACTCTCCATGATCTCATAAGCGGGATCAGCTCTGCGTCTTTCCTCTTTACTATTAAGCCTTTTGTCTGGTGGGAGAGAAAAATATAGTGCGTTTTAAATATAGGAAATTAAACCGCAATTTCTTTCGCCAAGAAATTAATCTCATATTGTGCTTTTCTTAAAATCCACTTTGTGAATCACATCAGACGACGTGCACTCTGGGTACAAGTGCATGGATTTGTCCAGATCCAGTGGTGGGAACAATTAACAGTGAATTTATTCATCATCTCACAATACATCCCTGGTGCTGGAGATAAGAGCTGTGTTGACAATGTGAAAACATGCAAGGGACAAACATCACACAGAGATTCATCATGCAGCAGACAGTTTAGTGTAATGTCCTGTCTAAATGCTAACATTTAAACACTGATACTTTGAGTTTTATACTGTGGAAAAGGCTTTATATTAGAGCTCGACTGATACACAACATTGATGATATCTGACAATTTAGCTTATAACACATGTATTGTTGCTGGTAGGGGATTTTTAAGGTCAATATAAATAGATATCTGACAATTAAAACAAAAAAAAATCTGCCATTTGTTCATTTTTTTAGATTTTAGAAGTGGGACATTTTCCAGACTCTGGCAGATTTATTGCTTTAATTTAAACAGGCTTATACAGTACACACTCAGTCGGCAGTTTATCACAGCTTGATAAAACTAAAGCAATCTACTCCAACAGTTAGATTTAGAAGGTTATAATGTTCAGATTTTGTTCAAAGTGTTTTAGAGAGGTGTTGATGCAACTGTATGATCATTCTAAAGGATGTAGTTTGTGCTGCTGTTGAACTGTATTGCTTTATACAGAAAGCTGTTTCTGTTATTTCGCCTACCACATAAACTAAGAATAATAATGGACGTAGCCACTGTGACATCATCCATTGGTTTGTGGACTCCTGTTTTGAAGCCTTGAATTTGGGAATGTGGCTGTCGCAGTCTTGGATATTTAGAGCTAAGTGACCTAAGTTGGAGGAATAAGTGTGGAGGAGGGAGGCGTGGATCTTACCGAGAGCCTGAGGACACTATCGGCAGACAGCCTGTCACAGAGAGCGGCCCGCATTTAATTATTCGTAACTTTGGGCCTTAAAAAAATATGAACGGGTGAGTCATAAAAAATAATTCACCCCTTAACAATTGTTACGAAGGAAGAAATTAGCTATGGAGGCCAAAACTGTTTCCTGTACCTGGCTGTTAACACGTTTATTTCAGCTGTAAATTTGGAGGTCTGTGGGGATTAACTTGCTTTTGGAGCCAGCCTCAAGTGGCCATTTGAGGAACTGCAGTTTTAACACTTCAGCACTGGCTTCATTTTTCAGCCTTGGAGGTTGCTGCTTGGCTTACTTTCAATGATATAAACGGGACGAGCCAGATAATAAACACCTGTCAATATAACTCAATAAAAGGCAGGGTTGTTGTGTTGGAGAGCTTAAGTTTTAGCTAGGTGTACCTAATAATTTGGCAGCTGAGTGTGCATCAGCAAAAAAGTAGCAAGTAATTTCATAACAGAAAAGTTAAAGATACTGTATGTTCAAGATACTTTACTGTCAGTGTCACCATCACACAGTGTGTCCACCAGAGGGTGCCGACAAGCTTATTTTCTAACTTTTTTTTTTCTTAACCAAATTTATGTAATCTTTTTTTTTTACTTAACTTTCTTAGTACTATTTTGGTACCACTTTCCAATAACGCACCCCAAGTTTTAACAGAGGCCAAATTAGTGGCTAATAAATAACTTAATAATGCTTTACAGTTCAGTTATAAGCCATTAATAAGAGAATGCTTTAAGTTGCCAGGTATTGTAAAAAAAATATGCTCAGGCTGGTGTTACTCCTCGATAAATGAATGCGAGGAAAGGTATTAATAAATACCCTTTCCCTAAAGGTAAGGCATCATTAAGGCCTTTGCACACCAAGTCCATATTTACCATTTGAAATTGTTTAAGTTTTCAGAATAGGTTCAATTTTCTGTGTTTCGTCTACATTTTCTGCAGTTGTCGTTTCTGCAGCTGCATCAAGAAGCAGTGAAAAAAATGTGACATAACGTGGGATACATACAGCTGCTAAAGAGAGAGGAACAGCGTGTGCAGTTTCTTTACATAACTCAGAAAGATTCCTTTCAACAGGTCAGATAGTAATATTCAGGTGGATAACAGTGACAAAGAGCAAGGTGAAAGAGAGAATGAAGGCTGCATGCAGACAGAGAGAGAGAGAGAAAGCAGCAGTGTGGAGAAAGAGAAAGAGGACAGCTCAGCAACTTCATGTAGCCATGGTGCCAAATGCAAGAGGCAGGCGGAGTGGTGACAGCCGGGAGGTGCCTCCAGAGAAGCAAGGGAGCAAATGTGTCTTCTCATTTGTCTTGTAATGCAAATTTTCTCAACAAATAGAACACTATAACACCTTGGACTCAGTGTTAAAGTTTTCTTTGCATAGCAATTTTTACAGATGACTGATGGAAATGGAAAACACAGACTTGTTGTGCAAAGGCCTTAAGGTGGAGATTTTTCAGAGTCTGGCAACCCAGAAGTTGGCTTTGACCTCCTTTAGAAGGCATTAGTACAGGATTTATTCGCCATGAATAAAGACATTACTTACAACAGAGCTCTTTACAATAGGGTAAGAAAGTGGTGCAGACTTTGTTCAGCACTAAAAATCAAAATGCAGAATTTTTGCACACCTGAGGGTCGACAGTTGCGTAGGGGAAAACCATGGGTCAATTATCACAGAACAAAGAACTGCACACTGTCTGCTACACTTGCAATAATAGGAACGTTTTTGGGAACCCTAAAGCCGTAAATCAGTCAGTCTCTATAAGAGCGTATATATAATTTATGATTTCATAACTTGTGCAATAACTTCAATCCCCTCTGTTTTTCACAGCCCTCAAGAAGCTTAGTTGTACAAACAACACAACACAAGTAAAGACCACAGAGTGCAGGAAGAGAGAAAACAAGAAGATGATTAAACAAAAGAAGCCAGGAGGAAATTGTGTTTTTATTGAAGATAAGCAGAGCAACAGGACGGAAACAAAGAGAAGATCCGTTTCAAAGGACTGAAGAGGAAAAGGACACCAGAGGAATCGTCGCGAGAAAAGATGCTTTGTTGTGAGTTGAAGAGGAAACTGGAGAAGAGGCCTCTTACCTTCACTGGTCACCGTCTGACCATTCATCTCTTCGTACTGACACTGCCCAGCCACGCTCTGTGATCCATCACTGGCAGCTTCACACAACAGCTCCTCATTAGTAGCTACTTCTTGTTCTTGGCTTTCCTTCAGGTGCAGCCCAGTTGGAAAGGTTTGTAAAGTGGAAACGTTCCTGTTGCGGTATGTCTCAGCAGGTACGACCCGTGGGGGAGGGTGGCAGTTCTCTCCTTGACACTTGAAACAGTTCTCATAAATGACAGCTCTTTTGTCCTGCTGTGAATCTTGCGGTGGCGCACAGGTGCCAGTTAGGGTGGATTTGAGCTCATTCCCAAAGCTAGGGCTCATTGACTCATACAGGTTCAGTCTGTTAGTCTTTGCCTCGGGCTGCCTGTCTACGCTTGGAAAGCCTAGCAGATCAGCCAAGAGACTGGCTAATTTCTCTCTTCCTTTTTTTGGCAGCGCTGAATCCTCACTCGTCCTCACTGTTGGCTTCTCCAAGCTGTGGATGCTTCCAGAGCCAGGAGAGGCACAGGGTTTCTCCAGAATTTTCTTCACTGCAATATTGTGTTCACTGGCAGCGCTGGGTCTGCATGGTGATTTGTCAACACTTTGATCTGCTGGAAAAAAAAAAACCAACCTTCGACACACTTTAATTTCTGTCCCTAAATCAAATCGGCAAGCTGTGGCTCAACAGAAAATGATAAATGTTTTATTCTCAAACATGCATCAACTGTTCATGCAGGCAAGAATCGATACATGCAGCATGCACTTAATATTTAAACTGATTACACTTACCTGGTATGGCAGGGACCGCTGAACCACTTGCAGGGGTGTATGGTGTCCCCTGTGACATGACATAAAATTACACAAATTACCTGGTGTTTGAATGTGTGGCATTTTAAGGGAAAAGGCTGGTAATCATCTGTATTTCTTTTCAAACTGCCAATAATCCCTCGCCTGACATCGCTAGACGAAATCACAAATTTGAGTTAAGCTGAGAACACGCTGCTGTGCCACAGTGCGTCAAATGACCAAGCAAAGTTATTACTACTTTTACTGAAAGATCTGTACCTCTTCCACCTCTGCATAAGTTTAAAATCATGTGTGGACACCTACTCATCTAAGCTGATTTCTCACCTGAAGAGCCGATCTCCAGAGCTTTGACTCGCCAGGCAGTATCTTTTTAGTCATGGTCTTTATAATGACAGGATTGTGGGTCGTTTAGCTCAGGATATTTCTCCTCCTAAACAACATTTCTCTCCTCATTCATTCTTTGCCACACGAGACACAGAGTTATCTTTGCATCCATGGTGAGGAGAGGAGTCGAGCTGCTACAGGAGCAGGTATGTACAAGCAGAGAGCAAGTGGGGGAAAATGCATTTGATTCCAGGGCCGGCGAGGCTGGAAATAAGAAAGTGGCGTAAAGTGCCCGCAGGGCAGCACGTCCATGAGTGCTGACACGTCTTGCTTGTACACCGAAAATAATAAGGTTGTATTTTTATTTTTGAGGGACGCTAGCAACAGCCGTAGATCGAAATGCCCTTGACCACAATTGGATAGATTTATGACCAGCTATAACTACATAACGTGATGTTGTGCTAAGCAATGGAAAAATGTAAAAAGAGTAATTACTTTGATAGAAAGTTCAACATCAGCTGCAGCCAATTTGGTTGTTATTCGAAAATGCCTCAACCTCACTCCTTTACCAAGTCTCGGAACCCTTCGGCTATCTATCTGATGATAATTACAGCCTCTGGGGGCAACAACCAATATTTCAGGAGAGTTGGTGTAGCTGGCAGATATTCAGGTCAAGACATCCACTTCTGTGCACCAGTCAATTTGGCTAATGTCTATAATTAGATACCTGCAAATGAATGAGAACAAATAAAAAAAAACTAGAATTACCACCCCACAGTTATATGCCTCCGCGCACCGGTCAAGTTTCTTTTGCAGTTTACATCTGTCTGTGAAAACACCCACGCCCACTGTCCCTCCAACAGCACAGAAGATCTTTACAATCAGCACAGTTTCAAGGTGGACATCAAAGATGACTGCCACCAATTAAATATCTGACCAAATGTCTCCCCTTCTGTTCCTGAGATATGACACTGAATAATGACCAGAAAAGTGATTTATACAGACCATTATGATGAACTAATCAGTTCATTGTTGAGTCAAAGGGGACATTTGTGCCAAATTTGAAGAAATTCCCTCCCTGTGTTCTTGAGATATCTTGTTCACAAGGATGGGACAGACCGATTGACAGATAGACAGAGGGAAAACCCGAGAACATAATGCATTCAGCCACAGCTATGGCTGGCAAAGAGACACAAACAAATTTTTTTTAAAACAGCCAAGGTTTTGAGCTGAGTAAAAAGTGCACCAAAACCACCTACACTGTATCAAATAAAACATGTTATATATGATTCTGATTTGTGCACAGAACATGCAACTAGTGACAACATGATCGGTCGATCATTCAGACTACAAACAGAAACCAGAACACTTCCAATACCAAAATCTTGTCTCATTGCCCACAGACTCGACATACATATACAAATATCTGTTTGTAGAGATTACTCTTTACTAAGCTAAATTTATCCCAGCCTTAGTGTCCCCAGCACAAAGGTGCAACACATAGTTTGTGTAAAGCATGGCCTCCAAGACGTCATTGTCTCAAACATGCCTCATCTTAGATAAATGGTTGTGATTGGCCCAACCCAGGCCCAGTGGGCTCAAAATCTGTCTGAACAGTTCGGGGACCAGATGCATCTGCCAGAGCGCATAAAACATGAGCTTGCAGATCCGTCTGGTTCCCAGGCTAAACAATCCCATGGAAAGACGAAAACCAACAGTGAATTTATCCGTCTCTCAATACTTACGCAGCCTGTCTATAGTTTTCAGCCAGAAGGAAATCGGTTCCTACTGAGGATGTAACACTTGGAAAAATGCACCACAAATATATACTTTGACTTTTAGAAAAAAGTCTACATCATTTTCTTTTAAGAGCTGGGCACCTTGAGCAAACATTTCCTAAACAGGAGGAAATAATGTTGGGGATATGTTCAGCTGTGATCTGGTATTGGCATCCTTGTTTTTAATTCCTGATAATGAGAGAGACAGGGAAGAGCCTGGGTCAGACTCAAATCTGAGCTGCTGTGGTAAAGACTCTGCAGTAGTACACAGTTTACCCAGTGAGCTACCAGGCCAATCTATAAGACTTTGGCTATACAGGCGATACTTGCTAGTTTCATGGGATTTGTTGACAATAACAAAAATGTACAATATCACCACAGTGGACTGTTTAGCTTCTGTAACGTCAATAAATGTTATGTTCCATAGTTGAGAGGAGTGAATGGCTGTGAATGTGTCCTTGGCTGACGGATGACTACATCACACACAACATTTTCCACACCTGACTTTTCTTGTAATTGTACTACCCATACTCCCCCCTCTTATTAAACCAGCCAGACAGAACCCTTTAAAATCTGCTCACAATATGGTATAATTATTATGATAAAAATAAATTAATGCTTTCATAAATATCCACTCCAAAATGTGAAATTACATGTATTTGTATGGTGTGCAGTTTTCTCCTGAAGTGTCCCTTTAAACCGTGAGCCAGTAAACACTACAGGGGTGGAATGTGTTGCTCAGGCTGAGGTGATAAATGCCCTCCCACACTGCTCGTGTCTGATCCATCAGCTCCAAGCCAATAACTCTCATGTTTAATTTAGTTCACTGAGGACTGACTGAAGAGAAACCGAGAGAAAGGGAACATTCTGTTCAGGTAATATAATGCAATTTGCTCTCTAAACTAAATGCACTACCAGCAGGTGGAGCTATTTGTTTAGAGTATTCAACAAACGTGACTCACAGCTGACATACCAGGACAGAACAGCTTTTACCGAGTTTGCACCTGGATGTTTAAATGATACGATCTCCAAATAAACTGAAATTATAGCTCAAAGTCAGCCTTTAAGAGTGCAAGAAGGTATTTGATAATGAACAGCAGAGAATCAGCACAGACATGAAGAAGAAATAATGAGGATGAAACTGCTATAAATGATGTAAGACTTTCTATCACAGCCAAGAAGGATCCATCTCGATATCAATGGGCAAAAACTGATTCGTCCTAAACTCCGACATCTCTTCCTTCACTTACTGTATCTTATCAAGACTAACAATGATGAAAAAACAAAGTAAAGCTCAAACAATTACAGAATCAAAGCTTCACTTGGTAACTTTGATGAAAGTAACTGTGATATCTGCTGTCACTATATTCACATAGTGGTACATGAGACAGATAAACTTTCCTCCTCCCTTTGCTTCTAATGGCATTCACTAGAATCTAACGCAGCTCACAGAAAACAACCAATCAGGGCCGAGGAGTCTCTAACGCCACTGTCAATCATGTCAATCACTGCTTACGAACTCTGGTCAAACTTCCGAACTAGGCAGCGCTGATGTGGTCACTTCATTGCCTATTTCTCGCCCTTAAATGTTCTCGGGAACATATTTTAGTGCACTGTTTAGCTGTAAAATGAGAACGTTTGTGACCCAGCTGCCATGTTGGAAACAGGTGAGTCAAGCACAGCCACCAGCTGGACCAGCTTTTTCATCACACAGCTAAACAGTAGCTGTAGGCTGTGGCTCAGAGGTAGACTAGGTCGTCCACTAATTGCAAGATCGACAGTTAGATCTCCAGCTCCTCTAGTCTGCATGTCGAAGTATCCTTGGGCAGGATACTGAACACCTAATTGCTCCTGATGAAAATGCCATCAGTGTGTGTGAATGGGTCAATGTGACGTACTTGAGTGGTCAGAAGACTAGAAAAGTGCTATATACAAATGCAGTCCATTGACAGTACACTAAAATAGGTTTCTGAAAACATCTGAGGAGAGAAATAGGCAACACAGTGACAGATCTTGATTCGTATTTGCCCAGTCTGGCAGTTTGACCACAGTTTACGAGCTGTGACTGACATGATTGACAGCTGTGTTAGGGACTCTTTGACCTTGATTGGTTGTTTTCGTCCACATGGAGTTATGCCATGAGAAGCAAATCGAGGTGGCAGAAGAAGAATATTTTTGTTAGTTTATCCGTCTCATTTACTGCCGTGTTTATGTAATAACAGTTTCAGCTATAAATATGACAAGTTATTACAACTTCAATGGAATAGCTCATTGAGAGAGAATGAATTGTCCACCGTTTTGATAGCGAGATTAAAGTAATCCTTAAGCGACATGTCAAACTAAATATTTGCTTATTTTCTTAGACGTCTATGATATTAAACTGGATCTCTTTGGGTTTTGGATTGTTGGCTGGACAAAACAAGTGATTTGAAGATGTAAACTTTGGCTCTGGCTAGTGTGATGGGCATTCTTAAGTAGTTTCTGACACTTCATGGACCAAACGATTAAGATAATAAGCCCCAGATTGATCTATAATGAAAGTAATCAGTGGCTGCAGCCCTAAAACAAAGATGAAACAGAGAAAAACACAATCGCCATCCTACAAAACCACTGGACCTCATACTTCATATTGAGAAGCTTTCTTTTATCTTGGGTATCTTATCTTAGCAGTGAGAACGACCTTCAGTTTCCAGTTTACATGTACTACCCTCCCTTAGCTCAGCAGCATCACATTAAACAATAAATAGGAGGCAGAGGTAGGAAAGGAGAAAACGGCAAGTCACTAACAAGGTCTACATCTGCTGGTATGATGACAGTGTCGGCCTCAAATGGCTGTTGAAATGTGAGCTTGTTAAGACAGATGGGCCACAGGACTGTTGGTTGTTTGGACACAAAACGCAGAGCGGCTTCACCGTCAGCCTGCACGGTACCGCAAAGGTCATATTGACAGCGAGCTACAGAACAGATGATACAGTGAGAACGCCGGCCTGCACAAGCTGCTACTGTATGACAAAGAGTTATACAACAGAGCACGTTCAGGAGACCATTTAAACAGAGGATGCTATTTTTTTTTTAGGTAGACAGATGGCCGGCGAGAACAGACTTAATAATACTACACTTATACACAAGCTTAACCCAAGTGTGCTTCTGGCAGAAGGGTAACAAGACAAAATATATATATAAAAAATGAGCACAAGTGACAGAAAGATATTTCCTACTTACCTTAAATCCACCGCAGACTGAGCAGATGGTCACAATGGTTTTGGGGACAGATGTGAGAGGGCTGCAGATGTGACAGGAGTCTGGGTGTTCACTCGAGGGTGCCACTTTTGTTTTCTTACTCTCCTCTGAGGAGCCTTGTAAGTGTTCACTCACCGATGCTCTTTCACTAGTTTCTGAGGGACCCTCAGAGGTCATGGTGGTGCTTTTATCCCCCTTTGCAGAGTCTGTTGTGAGGCCTGAAGAAGCAGGAGTGTCCTTAGTTGGCGTGGAGGATTCATTGTCTTTGGCGCCCCCACCTCCCTCCTGTAACACACTCCTGGGGCTGTCATAGAGATACCTAAGTGATGTTGGTACTTGGTATTCATGTCCAGGGACAGTGGTGCAACTACAAGGGCTCAAGTCTTGAGCCAAGTGGGGAGGCAAGCTGAAAACAGACCCAAAGTCCTCCCCGGGGACAATATCCAGGCTGCCTGTGTACGAGGAGAAACTTCCAGAGTAAGAGGAATGGCTGCCGGTGGCGATGCCGCTGTCAGAGGAGCTCTGACGGCCGATCTCCTGGAGCTGCCGTGGGGGCTTGGCGGCAGGTCGGTTCCCTCCTCCCTGGTTGACGGAAAGCTTCTCGATGCTCTGTAGTGCCGCTTTAGCTCCCACATGGCTGAGGTTTTCAGAGGGGTTGGAGGCCGGCTCGGTCCAAATGGCCATCCGGCTGCCAATGCTGCAGTCTGATTGGCTGGTGTCCGATGTGTCGGAGGAACCAGATATGCTACGATCATCGCCCCCAGCAGACGGACAGTACGAGGATGAGACTGCAAGGAAAGACAACATTGATAAAACTGAATTTAATCAACTGCTTAAACAAAAACTGCTTTCATCAATAAAGAGCATTAAAGTACCGCGACATCTTCATGGCTGTTTTTGCTCTGTGGTTTTTTACCACATAATAGGAATAATAAATCACCCGTGTGAGTAGCGTCTAATCTGTAAACTTAATTTGAATCTAAGTGCAGCATTATTAAAAGCCAAAGTACTCTCTGTTGGAGGAGAGGCATTGCTGCAGTTAAAGTGATTATGGGTGCTTTGGGATAATTATGGAACAAATGCACATTCAGAGCAGGAAGATTTGTAAAATGGGCAAACTTTTAGCTGCAGTTTCACCTTCTTATCGGCTTTGAATCTGAGCACAGCCTTACGGCCCTGACACACCGAGCTGTCAGTCAGCCGTCAGCCAATGTCAGGCGGTCGGTGAGCTTCTGTCTCCCTAGTATTTGCAGTGTGTCCTGCACCGGTGGCACTAGTCGGCCCTTGTCTGCTTTATTTTCTTGGCCTATTCAGCATGTAAAATTGGCGTCAGAGATGGCCGTTGGTTGTAGTCTTTGTTGAGTATTTAACTGCAAGTTTTTGGCCAAGACATGGGTGACGCAACAGTTGATGTTGGTTTGGTGTGTGTGGACTTTAACAGTAAGATGCTGTACCTGTGCTGCTCCTGTGAGACAGCATGCTCAGTCGTTTCTCCAGCTCCTGGGCCTCGTGGTTCAACCTCTCCTCCAAACTCGTCTGGCTGGCACTGGGGTCTGTGAGAGAAAGCATCACAGAATGACATCACCCACAAAGGTTCAATTCATATATATGTATATACACATATAAACTTACATTGCTGTCATCACACTAATTAATGATGACACGCTAAGTTTGGTGAGCCGTACTGCTGTCACTGAGACTTGGGATCAAATGTGACGCAGCTGAGGATTTTGCTCTGCAGTGACACAGGCACAGCTGTGAAAACACATCCAACAACAACTCCAGAGGAACAAGGGACACTTTAAACCACAAGGGTCTCGCTCATGAAAGCTGTGGCATCGGGAAAATAAAATGTCAGCCACAAGATGTTGGTGAAAAGAATAACTAACAGGCACTTTGGCAGGAGTGTTGTGTACAGGACGTGCACAGGAGAGGGTCACACAGGGGAACACCTTGCAGTATTTGTGCAACACTACGGGGTTTATTAATAGCGCTGCCACGTGGCTCTGTTGGTACGCACTCTGTTGCTTGTGGCTAAAGATTGTTGGTGCTGTTCAAGGATCTTATGTACCTTGGAGCGCCAAGGTCAACTCTAACACTGGATCGATGTTTTTTCCGAGCCTGCAGCAGCAAATGGTTGAGATCACATCCTACATGTGGAGTATTAACTTACAGTACACAACAGACTATTACTCTTATGTGAGTCTTGCCACTGGCACTCGTCTCATGCAGTTACATGTTGTTTACATGAATCTCATTTCCTTCCTTTTGAAACCCTTTCTCTCCCTGGAAGACACCAAGTTTGTTTACCCAGATGCACATAAAACTTCAAGAAGCACATATTCCCAGCTGGAACTTTAATGAGCCTAATGCAGCCACATTCTCTTACATTTCTCTTATATTTTCTCTTAATGTTTTTGTAGCCGTCTTGCTACCCCTGTGAACTCCCCAGCACAGATTCAGCACTCCGTCTAAATGCAATACTTTTATTTTCTGCTTCCCAGCACACAACAACAACAAAATCAGTCAACAACATGTGCCTATGGCTGCCTGGCTCCTCTGGCTCAGTCTTAAACCAAAAGGCAGTGTCCCTCTCCCTCTCCCAGCACACTACAGCATGAGAAAGGGAGAGATGTAATCAGAGCAAACCAGCAGCAGCTGTGTCAATCAACTCACCTGGTACTACTTTCATTAACCCCACACCTCCCCCCTGCATCTGACCACTAACCACACCCACCTCTACCGTTTTGTTGAGAGAAAAAACAAGAGAAGTCAACTCCAAATACACCAAATGTTCCTAATCATCCTTATCTGCTCTACCCAGGTGTGCTGAATGATGCTTCCAAGTTGATGATAAGTAACCTATTAGCATAGGCAACGCCTGTTAAACACCATATAAAGGCGGGTGCTGTATGCCCAAGAACTGGATAGATGCCACCAAAAAAAGGTTGTAAGAAGAGGAAGAACTTGTGCTTAAGTGAAACTGATGTACTGTTAAATAAACTTAAATTAAATGTGAGTGAGTGACAGTACTGAAGTTACAGGAAAATCAAGAACCCAGCAATGACAAAATATTAGTGATGCTGTAAATGCTGTGTCAGCAGCAGGGGTGGAGGAAATATTTAGATCTTTACTAAAGTAAAAGTGCTAATATCACACTGTAAAAATACTCTTATTAGTAGAAAGTCCTGCATTGAAAAATGTTACTTAAGTAAAAGTATGTAAGTACAATCAGCTAAATATAATGAAGTATTACAAGTAAAAGTAGTCAATGCAGAAATATTAAATCAATTTAATAAATCAAAATAATTAAAAGGAAAAGCAATGAGTCCTCATATTTGAGTAGCTGGAACAATAAAATGTTTTTCAAAATACAGTAGTTGCCAATTAATTTTCTAATTAATCGACTAATTGTTTCAGCTCCACCTGTATATTTTCATATGGTTTGTGCGTAAAAATCTAAATTTGTCAAGTAACTAAAGTTATCAGATAATTGCAGTGGAGTAAAAAGTGTAATATTTTCCTCTAAAGTGAAGTGGAGTAGAGGTAGAAAGTGGCATGAAATTAAAATACTCAAGTAAAGTACCTCAAATTTGTACTTAGGTACAGTACTTGAGTAAATGTACTTAAGTACATTCCACCTCTGGTCAGCAGAGGGACACACAGCAACTGAAATTACAGTAAATAGGATCAATGGACCAAGTATAGTAGTATTTTTTTAGCCCACAAACTTAATGATACAATCACTGCAATTACTCTTAAAAAGTGCATGCGTATCATATAATCAAATTAAGATTATATTTAAATGTTCCTCAAATTTAAAACCTCATGCTGGACAATTTATGGACTGTGAAAACAAGGGCGCTCTCAACCTAAAATTTCCTCTTAACAAAGAGCGAATGTAAGAAAACAACAGTAAATCACAAAAATCAATGGGTTGTAACAAACATAAGAGAAAAGTTGTTCATATATTGCCTCCAGCATAAGGCCCATTTATTATACATTTAGTTTTTAACAAATGTATTTGGTCCCCTACTACTTTGTCTAGTAGTAGACAAAGTAAAATTACAGTCAGAATTTATTAAAACCAAACTGAAAATTTAGAGCCAAAATTTCAATTGCTTATTCTAACATTTAAACGTTTTATTTAATCATACAGTTTTAAGTTGATTATGAATTTCCTCTCCTTCATTTTGAACTTCTGTGTGAAACTAGAAAACGAATGCTCCGAGTCCTGCTGTTGTGTGCCAAGAAGCACATCACACAAACATCAGGTGGCACAGATTCCTTTGGTTCCCTGTTGGAAAACATATGTCCAACAATAAATCTCACCAATCCAAAGAGACAGGACTTCACATTTTCAGGAAATTTATTTCACCTGAGAAAACCTACATATGGCAGTCTAATTTAGAGCTGAACTCAATATCAGATCTGGTAAGATTCAAACTAAGAATTTAATGTTTTAAACTAAGATTTCAAATAAATGTTTCATATTTGTAATGGTCACAAATGATACTTGTAAAATCTAGTCAGGACATTCTCATTAATTTTTTTTCTCATTATAACCAGATGTTATTGTCATGGGAAAAAAAAACAACACTTTCATTTTAACATGAAAAAATGTGAGAATGTTTTTTTAACAATGGCAGTTCTAGTGTCTTGTGGGTGTCGAGAACAAAAGGCTCTGTGTGCCATGTAAACTGAAGTGTACAAAGTGTACCAGCAGCATCATAAACAATACAAACTGATATCTGGTATCACATCGGTTGTCATGGCTGCATCCAAATATAAAAAAGAGCTGCCAACACTTAAAAGCTATGAAAAACTACTACCGCCTTGCCGTTATATGCCTCCACCAACCAGTCAAGTTGCAGTTACAGTTTACATTCAGGTCTGTGAAAACATCACACACACCCTCCCCCCGGCAGCACAGAAGATCTATATCAAATGTCTCCCCTTCTGTTCCTGAGTTATCATGTTGAGTAACGTCCAGAAAAGTGCATAACATGATGATGTCACAGTGAAGATGACCTTTGACCTTCTGGACATAATAGGTCAAGACTATCATTTCATCCAGTTGGACATTTGAGTGAAATTTTGTCATAATTAGCGTATAAATTATTGAGTTCTGGCCAAAAACATGTGTGTAGTGATCTTGACCTTTGACCTTCCACCATCAAATTCCAATCAGTTCCTTCTTGAGTATAGGTGAAAATTTGTGCCGAATTTGAGAAAACTCCCTTAACACCTTCTCCACGTGTAGCATTCATGAAAATGAGACGGACACAAGGTCATAGTGACCGTGACCTTGGCCACCAAATTCTAATCAGTTCATTGTTAAGGTCAAGTGGTAGTTTGTGCCAAATTTGAAGAAATTCCCTTAAGGTGTTCTTCAGAAATGGCATTCACAAGAATGAGACACATGGGTCACAGTGACCCGAAACTTTGACCACTAAATAATCCTTGACTCAAAGTGGACATTTGTGCCAAATTTGAAGGAATTCCCTCAAGGTGTTTAAGATATCGAATGCATGCAAATGAGACTGAGACGAGGTCACAGTGACCTCATCAGTTCACATTGTATGACATCACTGTGTTCACAAAATGAGATGGGTGCAAGTTCACAGTGACCTTGACCTTTATCCACCAAAATCTAATCAGTTAATTGTTAAATTAAAGTTAACGTTTGTGCCAAATTTGACGAAATTCCCTTGAGGTGTTTTTGAGATATCGCATTCACAAGAATGCAACAGATGGGTCACAGTAACCTTAAACTTCAACCACCAAATCTAATTGGTTCATCCCTGACTCAAAATGTACGCTTGTGCCAAATTTTAAGGAACTCCCTTAAGGCGTTTGAGATATCGCATTCATAAAAATGAGACTGAGGCGAGGTCACAGTGACCTTTATTATTAAAATCTCATCAGTTCATCTTGAGGTCCTTAAAAGTTTGTGTCAAATTTGAATAAGTTCCCTCAAGGTGTTCTTGTGATATTGTGTTCATGAGGATGAGATGGGTGGAAGGTCACAGTGACATTGATCTTTAACCACCCAAACATAATCAGGTAATCATTAAGGCCAAGTGAACACTGTGCCAAATTTGAAGGAATTCCCTTAAGGTGTTCTTGAGATATTGCTCTCACCACAATGGGATGGATGGCTGGACAACCTGAAAACATAACACCTCCGGCCACAGCTATCGCCGACACAGAGACAAAATAAAGCCAAAGTTTACCAGAGCGCTGTCTGCTGTTGTTTGATTATCAGCTGATATCGGCTTGCTCATCCCAGCTAAGCTCCACTAACGCCTCCTACTCTTTGACCAAATAAGGATTTTCTGGCTACTGTAGCTGGCAAAGACCACATTTATCTCACATCTATAGATACAAGATAAGGAATGAAACTAACAGCTTTTACTGTGCTCCAACTACATACAATTTAAAAATCATAAAATCTTAATTTATAAATGTATAAATTGCAACTTTAAAGTATAGTTTGACATGTTAAATCTGCATAAATATGAAGTTACAGCCGTCAGCTGGTTATCTTATATTAATATACAGATTGGAAACAGTCCTAACCATACACATTTTCCACTGTATCTCGAAGCAGCCATTGTAATCTTCATTCCCTATATTTACATCCCCTGAGGTGTTTGATTACAATGGCAATTTTCCTAGTTGAACTTTCTCGTAATTTAAGTTTAATATCCCCCCCCTCATGGGAGTAAAGTTTGTGTCCTGGAGACTAAACAGAGCGGGAGAGTTAAAAGTGGTGAGAGGTGGAAACAGTACATCACACACCAGTGACATACAAATAAGTGAGCCTGGGAACATAACAACAATTAATTAAAACAGAAGCGGAGAGATTTAGTCAGGAGCTGTGCAGGACAGAGACACACACACAAGGACTGAGAGGTGAACCGCAAGTGAGAACGAGACACACAATTAAGGGCTGCAGAGAGGAATAAGATCGAGTATAAAATGAGAGACGGGAGGGGAGAGCGGAGCGGTGGGTGACCGAGTATGAAATGAAGGGGGGGAGGCAGCAGTGGAATCCTGTGGATGAGGTTACATACATGCCCGGAGTGATTAGGAGGCTTTGGCTGCTCTGCTTGTGTGAACTGTGACTTTGACCCCACGCTCTCCCACCGACATCCTCCCTGCTATTTATTCTACTACGCACCACAATAATAGGAGTATGAGCTCAACCTGTGATTGGGCGGCGAGATGTGTGAAAACCAGAATATCTGCGAGACCCCACAGCTGCCTGCTCCACATTTCCTGTTAAGTTGCGCACTGGGTGAGACATTTTTTTATTTAAACTGCTAGTGTGGAAAATCGAGGGTGTTGAAGTGGACAGGAGGAGAGCAGATAATGTTTAACAGCTTTAGTTACATTAGATGAAGCATCCAAATGTGTTAATGAAATAACAGAAAGAAGAGCAATCACATAGAAAAGGAGCAGGGATGAGAGCATTTTCTTGTATGATTCTTTGTGTCGAAGACCATTTCTACTATTTTATATGGTGGACAGTGACAGGGATAATTTGAAAATTAGAGTTTAAAGATACCAAAGTTCACAATATGTCTGTAGATTATTACACTGTGTCTGCATTATTTTCTCCATGTGCCAAGTTACAGTTTCAAGTTCATTTTAAATACAAACCTGCAATAACTATGTTTTTTTTGGCCACGTGGGGGCAGCAGAAACAAGCTGTAAATACAATTTATCGCCTTAGAAAATATACACATCCAACAGATTCGGAGCAACATAATCATTCATGTGGCCACCTGACAAATGTAAGTTCAGTATTCCCTCTCCTTTTAGCTCTGTTTTTGGTCTCCACCAACTCCTAAAGGAAATATCTGGCACTTCAGCTCCTAAATGCTCCACTACGATGACCAATTAACCTCTACCATTTTCCATTTGTCATTTGGTGGTGAACCAGTAGCATACAGCGACAGCTTTTTCGCTAAAATTTGCAGCCAAAAACAAAGCTAATGAGAGTAGGTGTTAACTTTATCTATCTAACTTTAATTTGTGTTGATCAACTAATCAATTAGCTGACTCATCATTGCAGCTCTGCTTTATACTATGATAGCATTCCTAAAATTACATTATTTAAAAATTGCAATAAATTTAATAGTGAAAGGAACTGCATCGCCAAATTCTTGCCAATCCACAGCCTGAGCTGACAGTGAGTCTAAACATCGAGGTTGCAGGCTCAAAATTGAAACCAATGAGCTGAAAGACGTCAAAACTCTCCACAGAATCGAGGATACCTACGTTTGATCCTTTTCACATTGCCGTTTGACCCACTGTCAGTATAAAAATATTGATTATGGCGGATTTTTTTTTTAGATTATATTTTCGGGCTTTTCTGCCTAATGGATAGGACAAGCTTAATGAGTGAAGGGGGAGAGACAGAGGGAGTGACATGCAGCAAAGGGCCGCAAGCCGAAGTCAAACCCGAGCCGCTGCAGCAAGAACGGAGACTCTGTACTTGGGGCGTCTGCTCTAACCACTAAGCCACCAACACCCCGATTACGGCAGCTGAAAGTTGAGAGGAACAATGTATGCTGATAAATATTTCTTGCTTATTAATTTGTTTTGACTATTTAATTAGTCAGGAAACTGTGAAAAATGCCCGACACAATTTTCTCAGAGCCCACACTGTTTGTTTTCACAGTGGTTAGTCTGAGCAACAGTCCGAACCCGAAAGCCATTCACTTTCTTATCACAGAGGCCAAAGAAAAGAAGCAAATCCTCACAGCACTGAAATTAAACAAACAATGCTGACATTATCTTACAAAACAAAAAACTTTTCAGCTAAGAAACTAAGCAGAAACTTTTGAGTTCTCACAATGGGTGGCAGAAGAACAGGAGATCAGAGGAGCTGAGGGTGGACGTGATAGAGCTCAGGGTTCACAGACAAACCTCAGTGTTACACAGGAAGACTTATAATATTACACCCTATTAACTCTTTGGAAAACCTACCATACTTAGGTTTTCAAATAATACAGAATGGAGATCACGGTGTCTTCATATTAAGTCTATCATTTACCAAGTGTGCTTGGCATCTTTGACACACTGAATTCTTGCCAGAGAACCCTGTAGTAAGAGTTTAGAAAAACCCTAATGGCTATTTGGAACTGGGCCCATCCTCCAGCTCTCCCACCGGTAGCACTACACCCTCAACTATACATAGACTACAATTGAATTTGCTTTCCGTAAACACAGTTAGTACAGTAGTCATCCTCTGACTGATGTATAAGGTGACCCTCAGCTTTACATTCACCACAGTACACTTAAGTCAGGGGTTAGGCTGTTTGACTAAAATTATAAATTGCTTCAGAGGATTACCCAATTACATAAAAAACAGCTGTCAGTCATAGTATAGTCACATCAAAGCACATCCATCCACGGAGGAATCCTCTGACTCATTCTGCCAAAAATGGTCCGGTTCCAGGAAGGCAGCACACCTAACGGCCGTGCTAATCCCTGGAGGCACGGGAGGGGAGCCATGCACGGTTTGCTTCAATTTAAATGGCAAGTGTTGACTGCTCATACTCCTTGGCAACAGCCAGGCTATTCATTATCCAAATAAGCATCATGCAGAGATCCACCTTATTTCTTTAAATAATAGTCTTTACAGCTAAACTTTCCCCGTCTCTGTAGGTCTCTCACACACACAGTTGTTTTTTTCTAGTGCCTTCCAGCCGAGCAGCTTTAAACACCTCTGGTACTGACCTGGCAAAACTGGCCGCAGTCCAAAAGGGCCTCTGGTGGGGGAGATGCCTCTGACGATGCAGTCGAATAGAAAGCTGATCTGCTCGCTCTCAGCAGACGCGAGCAGAAAGACACCGGCCCCTGTAGAGAGCAAACTTTATTAGTGTTGGCAGCAGCAGGCCAAATATGCTGTGATAAGTACAGTTTTGCTATACAGGAGGAAATGATGTAGAAATATGTGAAAAGATTTGCCAAGTGTCATTGCACTAACATGCACCAACATGATTGACACCTGCTGGGGCTGCAACTAACAAGTCATCTCATTATCGAGGACTTGTTTGGTCTATAAATGTCTGATAAGTGAAAATATCCATTACAATTTCCTAAAAGCCAAGCCTTTGCAGTTAACTATCATACAGTACTGTCATACCTGTATACATGGAAACAGTCAATATATTTTAGCACTACTTAACTGCACATATTTTGATGGTCAAGTGGAGAATTTATCAGCAGATTAGGTAAAAGTCATGTGAACATTTGCAGGGAAGTCTAGTCGCAGTTGCAGCCGTGTCAGCAGTACAATAAGCTAGAATCAAACTGTATCTTCATAAAACACTGATCACAAAAAGTACTTTTTGGCACTACTTTTGTGTTACTTTCACGAAAATGACCTCAGAAGAATGAATACATATTATAAATGGATGAGCGTCATGTTGTTTCACAGCGGGTAATCAAAGCACAGAACCTCCGGTTAATTACAGTTCATTTCAAATCCAGTGCTGCGCAGGTCTGACCCATTCATGCATTCACACACAGTGGTTATTACGTTGTATTAAAATCCCCTGCTTCTATCAATAATAGCATGATGACAGTGAAAAATTAAATAGCCTAGACCTTTTAAAATAAATGAATAGCCTTGGACACAGGGAGGGTCAAGCAGACCTGATAATTATGAGATATGGATAAATATTTGTGTGTCTATGATATGAAAGACAATAAACAAATACTGCGGTTAGCTAAACAAATGGAAGGGCACGTGATGAAATCACGCTGACAATTGCAAATTAAAACACCGGTGCTGGAAGAACCCCCTGCCGGTGTGTCGGTCAGCTACAACAGCACCAGAGAGAGAGTTATATGTAAGAATGGGACTGTGTGCCGGTGTTGCTCTGCGGTTTTTGTAGGGGATGTGAATGGAAAGAAGCAGTTACTGTAGATGTGAGGTCTATAGGGTTGATCTCGGGGTTAAGGCAAAGATTAGGTTAATAAACAACTAGCTTATCCAAAAAGTGATGTTGGGCACAGGAGGTAAGGCACTGCCCCCTGGTGAAATACTAACTTTGTAGGGTGTCTTGTACATGAGACACAGCTTCACAGCTAATGTTAGCTACACACTGAAGTTAGCCATGTTCCCCATCTTAGTTTAGCATGTTAGCAAGCTAATATTTGCAAGTTAGCACTACACACAAAGTGCAGTTGTGACTGATGGGAATGACATTGGTGTTACAGGTATGAGGGTACAAACCAAAGTATTGGTCAAATAATAACTTTGGCAAACAGTTGAAGGGAAATTTCACTTAAAACCACAAGTGTGTACTTCATGGTGGCACTAGTCAGAAGATCGTTACGAATTAATCATCTGGGCTCCATAAATATCTGTGGCAAAGTTTGCAGCAATCCATTTAATAGATAATTCAGTCTGGACCACTGACCATTGTTTTTTTTCTACACTAATACCAAAATACTTTTTAATGGTACCTTTCTTTGATGAATATAAGCATGCTTTTACTTAAAATAAGAAGTCAACTGGGAACTTTACCTAAATAAAATATAGGCTAGTCTAAAATTTAAAAGAACTACATGATCACAGAATAAGTGGAAAAAAGCTGACCAGTGCTAACTTAATAGTTTTTGAAAAATCTGTGCCAAATACACACTGGGTTTCAAGAAAGTATTGAGGTCTGATTCTCAGCCCTTGTCGCGGCTGCTGTTATGACTTTTATATTAGATAATGAAAAAAAATTCCTCTTTATTTCTCAGTCTTTCACATCAATCCAGGATGTCATCACAGGTGATATAAGAATGCAAAGGTTAGAGTTCATGCTCGCCAGAGGTCTTTGACCTCCCTCTGACAATACAAGAGGCTGTCCATTACAAGGTGTCACCATTAAAGGGTTGTTGTGTCGCCTTGTCCCTGAGACCACCCAAATCAAAGCAGGCCCCAATCACATTCCCGACACTCCCCTAGCAGTGAGCAGGGTCAAAGGTCTGCAGTAAAGTCTGCACAAATGTCTGCACCAGTTGAAATTGGAGATGTATTGCCTGCTGATGTGGATGATATGGATCGAATTAGTTTAAGTAATTCTTTAAATCTCATCTTATGCTCTCCAGTGGAACAGGAACCATTTAGTTTGACTCTGAGGCTGAATTTAATCTCCTCACATTGTAGTTTTTTCTGTGAGGATCCACATCTACTTGTGTCATGCCTGTAAGAGCAGGTGACTGAACATCAGGTGCACAGCCAAAAGCAACAGTACAAAAAAAACTACAAGGCAAAACAAAAGGACAGGTGGCAGAGCGCATTTAGTTTACAACAAAGATTCTGTGTAGGAGCAAAAACAACTCAAGTCGACCCTTCTGGTCTCTCCTCTGAAAAGTGATAGAACACAGCGTCATTACAAAGCAACAGAACTTACTAAATCGTGTTGGGTAAGTGGTAAGTGTAAATTAGCTCGAGTCTTCACCAGAGCAAAGGCTGGCCTTTCTATTTTTGCAGTAGCAAAATCATCCAAGCAGGAAAACTTTAAATGGATAGTTTGTTTTTGGATAAACCAGACTATTTCTTTCTACAAGTGACACAAACTCATAAATTTATGAAACCAGTGCCAGCTTCCCTCAGTGGTACCAATATACACCTTCTCCAACACACGAATTTCTTCATTAATAGTGAAATTAGCAACTTTATAAATACACATTTTAACAATGTCTAGTTTAGTTCCCCCGCAAATAAAAAGAAATAGCTCCTAAGCAATTACTGTGTCTCTAAAGCAGAACAACAACCAAGAAACAACACTGACAACACTGATTCACAGCCAATAATAAGCCTCCTTTTAGCTCTATTTTTGGGCTCCACCAGCTACAAAGAGAAATATCCAACCAAAACTGCCTGAGAAAAGTTTGCACTGTAAGTTTCTGCAAACCACGGACAGTCATACATCATTTTATTGCAGATACTTTGAAACTTAGCATTTCTCAACAACACTGTGGTGAAGGTCTGGTTAGGTTTAGGCACAAACTGTATTTATTATTTTACAATAATATACAAAACTTAAAATTAAAATGTAGAATATGTCAAATTTAAAAAATAAAAAAAAAAGCAAAAAGAAGGGGGGTTCAAATAAAATCTATAAAGTAAATCTTAACAAAAACAAAAAAAGAATCATTAACCCTGGTCAGAAGATTTCATATAATTGAAGTAGTCTATTAAACGCTGCCAGATTTTGTAGAATTTCTCCTTATTTTTTCCAGGGAGAATTTAAAGAGAATTTTCTCTAACTCCAGGTGCTTCATTACATCATTCATTAGATCTGAATGTGTTGGTGCAATTTTCCATCAATCATTGTCCATCTGACTCGTTTTAAGCCCTTAAATCATGTGTGATAAGTGTTTCATACACAGAGTACAGCACAAACAGTGAATGCTCAAAAGAGCCCATAAACACCTCTCCTCAACATCACACTTTGGCTCGCATTTCCTCCTGAGAAACTCATAACACTGAGGATAAACCATCATGAAGGTTGTGGATAAAAGGTCGAACAAATGCTGCTCACTGTTCTACAGCTGCGTCAACCAGAGGTGAGATGTCCAACACTGTTACACCACTTCTCCCTCTGCTGAGAGATTACATGTCACAGGAACGCATGCCCTTCAACACTCACATTTCAATGCACCTTCACACACATTTTGCCCTTTTTCTGTACATGACAGTGTATGTGATGTCTGACCACCATCATATTATCTAATATCCACTGCTGAAGCTTTAATGGAGCTAAATAAATCACACATCGCATACTCAAGAGTCATGTTTCCAGGGGGGTCATCGCATGTCTGTAACGCTCTAATGTCTCTGGCGTTCCCCTCGTGTCTGTCTCTGTCCCCTCCAGGTGTTGACACACACTCGTCTCTGCTTTAATGGTTTCACGTCTGTTCCAAGATGCAAACCACGGTTTCCCTTATCACAGGGACACGCACAGCCAGGACTGTTATAACTGAGCTGAGGGGTAACTCTTGTTTTTCAAAAACAACCTCTCGGGAGTGACGCATGATGTTGAATTTTGGGCACAGCAGGAGTGATCCTGCACAGCCTGAATGATTTCCCCCCAGCAGGTTTCTTGTTGTCATGAAGCAGCTGGTTTTCTAATGCACCATCCACTGAGTCAGAGAGGAGGAAACTCTAATGAGAACAAGTGAAAATATTTTACTGCCATCACGTGCTTGCCATTACTCATTTAGGTGAATCAAATTACCAATAGCAGCCCACTGTTTCATATTAGACATCAACACTGCATCCATATGCGATTGTTAAACATCTCTCTGTAACACAGCATGAATCTGCTGCTAGTGTTTCCACACGGTTATAAAACCAGTGATTTGGTCCCAGTCAGCCACAGGAGTGTCAGTGAGGCTGGGCACTAATTACTGGGCAAAGAGGCCGGGCTCAGTTGGTGCTGAGTGGGTTTACAGCCAGGACAGTCAAGTTTCTGCATGCCAAGAAGTGTTGCCACAAAGTCTGAGGCACCTTGTGTCTAAAAGAGATTGCCTACCACGATACACCTACTTCTACAGCTACCAGGAACTAACTGAGAAGACTGTGGTGCAACTCAGCAAATTTGACAAAAAAAGAACAGAACAGAAATAATGATTTGAAAAATGATTTGAAAAAAATATCCATGATTGTTTTTAGAAGTAAAATCCAAAAATAGGATCACAAATGTGAGACTCTGAATTATATCTAATAGAGGTCACCACCAGATTGCGGATTTTTAAAAGCCAATATAATAACAATAGTTTGGACCAGGAGAAAGCTGATAGCTGATTAACTGGCACAGGAAGTGGCAACATTGACTCAGTCACAGACTCACTTTTGCTTTAACTCTGGACCTACTGCTGCAGTCCAGCCAAAACATGTATGTAAACACATGTTAAAATGAAGAACAATACACTAGACAGAGTCACACAGCAGAAAGGGCCTGGTTCTCTGACACCATACACACTGATCAGCTCCGTCTTGATCCATTTAACACCTCCAATCTTAAGCTTGGGTAGGTGTTGTACATCCTTGCGGGACTGTTGGAAGCTCCGCAGCCATCAGCCACTATCAGAGCCAAGCTAAGCTGATAACAGTAGTTTATAAAATGTCCTATTGGCCCAGATCAATCGGCCAAACTGGTAAATCTGTCAAACTCCAATTAATGCCATAATACCCAACAAACTGCCAGATATGATAGGTCACCTGCACAGATACACTTCAGTTTCACAATGACCTGAGTCTGATGTAAGGGCAGTGAACGTCTGTTGCCCTAGTTGGTGCACTGTGTCCAGCACCATTGCCCCTCGTCTGCTTTTTATAGTTGATTTAGCGTGCTGAATCGGCATCAGTGACAGCGGAGCCTATTTGTGAATGAAATCACTCTGATTGGCAGTCCAGCTCAGTGCACAAGAAGCTAAATGGAAGTGAGGAACGTAAACAAACAGCTTAAGTCTTGAGGGAGTGAGACCAAAACAAACATGTTACATAAGGTAAGATTATTTTTCTTTAGTCAGTGAGCTCTTTAGCAGAAACGTTTCATGATTGTTTGTGTTATTTTTTACTGGTGCACAGTAAATATGCTATGGTCTGTCAACACTGCATTGTGTTGTTAACGTGCTTGCTGGCTAACGAGCATCATGATGGTCTTTTGGTTTCCCTTCTTGAATGAGAAATTCAGACTTCCGCCTGCTGGTGTGCAGTTATTTCCTCTCACTAAAGTGCAGAACATATGTAGTGGTTGGCTGTCGGCTTTTAGTCTTTGCGGTGTGTTCATGTGCAACATTTTGGTTGAGACACAGGCAACGTGAGGTGACACAACAATTGGCTTCCTTCACCCTTTGCTAGGATTAAGAGTGCATGAAAACTAGTTAGCAAGCAGAGAAGCCAAAATGGACTGCTTTAAAAAGGGACAGTTCACCAAAAAAAATACATATTTTTCCTGGTTCCTATGAGTAGATGTACGGGTTCATATGTGCAACCACAAATCCACCCGGGGTACTTCAACACATCTCACGAGGCTATGGAGGTAAAAAACAAAAACATAATTGTACGCTGTAGCATTAAGATTCCCTCAACTGGAACTAAGTGAAAGAATGAAAAACAGACCCAGACAAAAATTACACAACAGCATTTTCCCTTATTTAACTCTAAGTTGCTCGTGACATTATTGTACTGAGAAGGAGCCTCTTTTCCACAGAAACTGTTGAATGAAAGCTTCACATGAATCATCTCAAGTCACAGCCGGGGATTATTCAGTCTGCTGGTGAAAAGACAAAAGAAAAACACAGCTAGATACTTACTTAATGAGCTATTAGCCTCTAATGATGCGACCGAATTTTGCTCAAGAGACATTAATGTCATGAAATGATGAAGACAGAGTGAGTCAGACATGTTTTTTGGTGCTCTTTTTCTATTATGTTTACTTTGCTTTGATTTCTGCCTTCATATTGCTGTAATGTTCTGTTTTTTAATCCCCCCATTTTGTCAACCACTCACTGTTATTTGTGGTATTGAATTAACCTTACAACTGTTTTTATAGTTCCTTTAGTATCCCTCATTCTTCCAAAACACAAGAGTGCTGTTTCAGCCCAATAACTAATTATCTTGATGTCCTGAGGAACCATCTGCCAAACATAAAATACCAGTTTATGGAGCCACAGAATAGCTAAAAGGCCAATTCACCTAAACTAACACATCTGTAGCATAACAGCAGCAACACAAGGAGTAATAAACTTACAGTAACCACATCTTGTTCCTCCCTCGAACACAAATCCATTGGGTACAGGCCCATATCTGCGCAGGTCGGGAAGGTTCCAGTGGCCGATAATAACAGGAGGGACGTCCCGGGCCAGAGCCACTAGGTTGTTACACAAATGAAGAGTTGCGGGTCCACTCTCCAACTTGGTCCCTGGTAAGACTCCAACACTGAATCTGTGAACTAAGCAAACAGAGAAATTAGTAGAAGAGCCAACAATAGAAACTTAAGTCTTGAAACTTCAGGAGAGAGACTTGCATCTTTCTGGATGTGGCTCTCCAATACTCTACTGGACCTGTAAAGTCTGCCTAGGAAGTATCGAAAGCACATTTTTATGATGTAACAACATTCACTGTAATGAGGCGTTGAGGTTTGCAGGAATGAAAAATACAGTTTAAATCACGTCAAAGCAACTGTCAATGTAGAATACAAATTGTAAGAGAAATTAGCTTTGATAGATACTTGTCTTGACAGCCTGCACATGTACATGTTTGACATAATTAACATATAGTCACACACAATAAACACATGGACAAATAAGGACATGTATAATATGCATACTCATATATACTAGGGATAGGTCATAGGTCTCATCCAAAGACACGCAGGGTAAGTTAAATAGTGACTCGAAATTGGCCGTAGGTGTGAATGTGCACGTGAATGTGTCAGCCCTGTGATAGTCTGGTGACCTGTCCAGTGTGCACCCTGCCTCTCACCAAATGTCAGCTGGGAAAGGCTCCAGCCCCCTGCAACCCCTAACAGGATAAGTGGTTATGGATAATAAATGAATGGATGAAAATAAATGTGGTTGTACTGTGGTGGAAATGAGAAGCCAGATGACTGGCAGATGCAACCACACAGCTTATGTGGTGAAGCTTGAATCTGTTGTTTACAGCGAGTTGAAGTGAATGTGCAAAACAAGACAGAAAGTCCCATTCCAAGTGTTCATCTTCAAAGACTGGTCAAATAGTTCCCAGTGAATATGGAATACTATTTTGGCTTGAAAAGCCCATCTCAAATACATGACATATATCCTTAGATTTAAGATAATACAAATGTATACACTCATACATACAGCGGTAAATAAGCTTTTTCACTCAGGGTTGCAATGGACAAACTGCCCCAATAAAAACACAAAAAAGTATAAATAAGAGAACTTCAGAGGTGCTGGTAGGCAGGCTCTGTTACCTTTGGACGAAGCCAGGCTAGAGGTTTCCCCTTGTTTCCAGTCTTTATGCTAAGCTAGGCTAGCCAATGGTGATAGCTTCATATTCAAATGGACTACATTTATAAAGCATTTCTCTAATCTTAGCAACCACTCAAAGAGCTTTACACTGCAGGCATCATCCACACACACATTCATACACTGGCGACCGAGGCTACCATTCAAGGTTCCTCCTGTTCATCAGAAAATCATTCATGCAGACTCACATACCAATAACACGGCCAGTGTCTTGCCCAAGGACGCTTAGACTTGTACACTGCAGGGACCAGGGGTCGAACCGCCGACCTTCTGATTAGAGATTAAGACATGCTTTATGAGCTTGAGGGTTCACTGCAGGGCTGCACTTCACCGAGGAGCTGCACACTTTCACAATCAAGATCCAAACAGGAAACAAGCTGCCAGGATTTTGGTCAGAATCCATTGACATGAAGTGGAAGAGAGCCCGCACTCAAACTAGCTGCAGTTAGGCTTCACAGGGGATAGAAAACACAGCGTCCTCACCAAATGATTACTTCAGCACGGATTTGATTTCATTCAACAATAAAAAGGAGAAACAGCTGCACATAGAGAATGACATCACAGCAGGCTCAGAACTAAAGCCCAAAGCAATCCATCAAAGCCTGTCACAAACATCCGTGTAATTGAGCCTGTGTACTGTTGCTAATAAGAAACCAATGAGGAAAACTGGATGTAAAATTAGAACTAAATATGAGGACTCCATTTGTGTTTCTGCCTGTGAGTTTGTAGAACATCACTGAACGCATGTGTGGAGTTTCCCAGCAGCACTACACCAAAGACTCTTACTTCAGCAGGTGAGACTGATGGAGCCGATGACGACGAAATGTCGCCAAGCTGCGTCGTGTCATCACTCAGGTTAAGAAAGATTCATATGGTGTCACACAAGGCAACAATAGCTCTGTACACAGTGGCCCTCCTCAGCTCACAGCGTGGCAGGTGACATTTCTGCTGGTTGGACGAACTCCACACACACACACACACACACACACACACACACTCATTCAAGGACAACACACTTTTAACTAGCTCTCTCAGAACACACAGACACAGGTGCATCCACGCAAGCGAGCAGACGTTTTCACACGCGCTCACGCCAGATTCGAAGGGACAACTGCAATGCAATTTGTCTTTAGCACCATGTCCTCTACCACACAGGCAGGTTTAATAACAGTGTCATTAGTGACTGCTTTAAAATACAGCTGGACGCCAGCCACCTGCTGAACAGCCCAACGCTATTATTAGCCCCTGCTTTGTTTATCACTTACATAACTATACAATAGATCCACACAGTAGCCTGTATACATGCTGCGTCTTGATGCTTGGTTATAACTTAACTTTTAATTCTATGATGAGCGTGGAGGTATGAACAAAAATAAATACCACAATAATTCTCATCATCATGCCTTCAGTCTCAGTAACCTGTAATCAACTTTTAGAAAGTTTTAAAATGACCTGCCCTGACAATCAGAAGTGCTCATCACAAAGAATGCTGATCTGTTGTGGGTAGGGGAGATGAGCAGAGGCATGTGACCATAGGATGACTTAGAGCCTGTTTATACCAGGTATCAACATGCGTCTTGGATGATCCAATCACAAGTGGACAGGTCTATGTTTGTCTGCATTAGAACGCGTCTCCACATGCATCTCGAGTGACCACATGTGATCGGATCTCACCTCCCTGCTCTATAGGCAAGTAAACGTGAATCATTTGCTTGCAAAGACCAAATGTGTTGTTGTTTTAAACCAGCAGAAGCCTTGAAGTTCTATATGTACATTTATAGACTGTATTATCCATCAGCCATGCATCCATTTTCATCTGCTATAGATATGTAATCCCTCCAGCATGTTCCTGGTTCCTCCTACCAGTGAGACGTCCCTAGAACACCTCCAGCAGGAGGCGCCCAGAAGGCATCCTGATCAGATGCCAGAACCACCTCAACTGACCCCTTTCGAAGTGAAGGAGCAGCGGCTCTACTCCAAGCTCCTTACCCTATCTCTAAGGCTGAGCCCAGCCACCCCACAGAGGAAACTCATTTTGGTGGCTAGTATCCGCGATCTCATTCTTTCAGTCACTACCCAATGAGTAAAATTGTAATTGCAGGGTTGAACACAGCGTACTGACAGCCCTTCGTCTCTCTACACCCGTTTAGACTTGTATTTAGCCCTGTCCACTTCGGATTGGATCACCCAAGACACCTGTTAATACCAAGTATCAACAGGCTCATAGTCATAGTTTTTTCAAGAAATGTCTGCAACCTTTTACGTGTATCGAATCAGCAATGTAAATTTTTGTCGATCACACAACTATCAAATCAAACAGAAGTAGAGAGTTGGTAAAAACACCACAGTTCCTACTGACGTCACCGTCTCCAGCCTGCTTCTTTATTACAACTGTTTTTATCCCTCACAGCTTCTGATATCTTAGATATGAATGAGAATGTGTTTTTACATTTTGTTTTCATCACAGAAGCCTAAAAGGCCGACAGCAATTCGGAAAACCATTCAGAAACCTCAATAAAAACACCCAAAGCACATCAAGCAATCAACTGCATCTCACCAAGTCGAAATGAGCACGGACATAAAATTGTTCCTCACTTGCAGATGTGTTTTTCTGTCATAACGGAAGCTAGGATTTACTTTTGATCAGTGCATGAATCTGTATGGTGTTGGTCCCTTGCTTACATTAATTATCAGTCAAGAAACTGCAGCTTTTCCAAAATCCTGCTGCAACATTCACCCTGCGCCCTGCCTTCATTCAACTTGCCTCAGGTGATTCTGCTCATCACCTATAAGGCTTTCATAGGACTATGAATGTATTCATGAACTGCCAACCCCTTCTCTCCTCATGGCAAGGAGCATATAAAAGGAGTGGATGTAGCCTCTGGGTCTTTAAAACGAAGCCATTGCAAGCACATTTAACCTGCATTCATTCTAATGGCCAGCAGGGGGCAACGCCACTGACTGCAAAAGACGATGTGAAAATGGCTCTTCTTCTCATTTGATTTATTAACTCAATAAACATTTTCCTCATGAGTTTATGGACTCAATTGCTAGTTTCAAGTCTTCTTCAATACAGCATGATGTTCATTTTGTAAATTATGGTCCCACTTAGAGTAATATAGACAATAAAGCAGGGTATACTTTAGGGTGTGGCTACCTTGTGACTGAAAGTCTCCACCACAGCAACCTCTCAATCAGGATAGAGGCGTAGCTAAAGGCGTATCTATCGCACTGTGTACATTTAAATAGCTGTGGACTTGGTTTTAGTCTTTGTCCATATTCTTTTCTTAGATCTTTCACCCCCTCAAAGTGTGCATTATTTCTGCAGATGTGTTGCTGGTACAGTGGGGCATGTGTTGTTGCCTCAGGTTCTTAGTCACATCAACCCCTGCTCCTCTCCAGCTCCACTCTGTTGTCCAAATATGGTCACTTCTGGCTCCAAAAAACCCAAGATGGCGACAACAAAATTCCAAACTAGATGATGATGCTTAGATGATGTCATGCTGGCTACATCTACTTCTTTTACAGTCTATGGACAGCACTCTAAGGTCATCTGAGAAGATTGTAATGCTTGTTCTTTGGTTTAAAATCAAACCATACCTTAAACTGCATCTATAAGCTTTGTTTGGCTGGCATCATCACTGCTGTTGATGGCAGTTTGTTTGTCTTACACTCTTCCTTTTGTTGACATCTTCATATAGAAAGGTGCATACATACTTACTTGTGATTAAAACTCTTGTTTCTGTGCACAGGTTTGGCAAGTTGCAGGGTATCTCTCTTTGGCTGCAGAGAATTTTTAAACACTGAAACCTGCCAGCATGATGGATGAACCTCTCCCCTTGCTGAGAGTTGCCTTTATTACAGAACAGTGAGGTCTAATGTGGTATTATTCTGTAAAATTTAGAGCGATTCAGATTTCTCGAAAGGTTGCGAGCACTGGAAGGGAAACGCCAGGAAAGCAAAACATAAAAACCAAAGCACAGGCGGATCTCCTCACCTTCTCCGAGGCAGTATCGTAGGCGGGCGTCCCACGCCAGCAGGGCCTCCTTGCTGTCGAAGCCCAGTATAGCAGCCTGGTTTAGGCAGAGGATGGCCAGAGTAAAAGCCACACCTTCATACCACTGTCCCACTTCCAGACCGCAGATCTCCTCCAAGGTCACACTGACCCTCTCCTTGTTTCCCTGCGCTTTTTCGGACTTGTCTTTGAAAACCAGCAGCAAGAGGCAGTCTGGAGGAGTCACAGAGTAGAAAAATAACATCTTGTGCCTAAGAACATTTAACATTTCATTTTTGTATTATTTTTAGACGTATCAGTTCTCTGAAAATAACTGGGAACACAGCTAAAACTCATAATTAATTACACTGTCAAATACTAACAGGATGCATTCTGACACACAGTAGCTGTTGTCGTGTCCTGTAGTCTTTTGGCACCTTCAAACAATCAGTGTCAACTGACAAAACAAAACTGTGTGTGTGCATCCTGCTCAGTCACACACACACACACACACACACTTCTTAACCAACATAACTGAGGCATGAGCACAGACAGCTGTGATAACACTGGCATCAAAAATCTGAAGAGCAGCAGCAGTCAACCTCAGTCTAACCTGTAGAGCAGGATAAGCTGTCCAGCAAGAAACCTTTCTGTGTAATGCAATACAGACATTTCATCCTTGTTTCTTATCCATAAAAAAGGCCAGAGGCAAGGTAGGTGTCAGACAGCCTCAGACTCAGTTTTATACAAGCTGAAGCCTCCTCTTCAGATGTGACTGAATAACAAGTACAAATTCATTAAGAGCACAGTCAAGGTGCATCTAAAAATACAGCAGGGCCCAGACTATTTGTCTTTAGGTTATTAACTTCAAAAATCGCTAAAATAAGATTCAATACAATTTTAAAGCTTGTGGAATCATGTTTAGAAATATTTTCACAACTGTGGGTGTATATCTGCGTTTGAAAAATGAGAAAGGCTTGTTAGTGTGTAGAAAAACAGTGATGCATCTACAAAAAAATGAGAATGTCAACATCAAATGTGTCAGCAGTGAGGTTAGACAGAGTACAGCCACAAAGCAAGGAAATGAATACACATGAGGACACATTTAAAATGACAGGAGCAAAATTTAACCCTGTTTTTGCAGCCGAAATCAGGGCAGACATTTGCACTTTAAAATCACTTGTTTAAAAATTCACTTGTACCTTCTACTTTGAATCTGTGCTCAGATATTCAGAAAAAAAAGTTGTTTTTTCAATTAGGTTTTGGGTCACCTCGCTGTTTCTCCATAAATTTTAGTTATTTTCTTCAAAAACAAACCTTTTCTACTATATTACTGTAATTTCTCGTGCACGGTTTTGTCACACAGGTATCTAGAAGTCTTTCCTATTTTATTTCACAAGGTCTGAATCTTTTGTGACCCTTTGAGCCCACAGACAAGGCCTAAAATCTGAATATACGAACCTCATTAACACAGGCAGGGTCCATACAGCTGGACGACATGCAGGATAGCACCTGATATGTTTAACTTGCTAGCTTCCTTCACTGTGGCGCAGCTAACATGCGCATTAATTGTTTACCCAATGCTTCACAGATAAGTCACAGTTATTAGAAACAAGGTTCAGCTGTGTAACGAGGAGGTTTTTACCTGCTACAGGCGACGGCTTGCGGAGAACGAGCCACCTAGTTTTCCACTGTGGGAGAAAACACAAGTAGAGACAAACTTTGTTGTGAGCACACATTCAAAGTGCGTTGAATTACTATCCGTCAGCAAACACAGGCACGCTAAAACACCTTTTTTCCATCTCTGAGTCTGGCATATCCCTCCACGACAACAGAATCCGTCATCTTCAGTCATGGTTCCTGACAGCTGCACGGTCGCTGCCTGAATGAGGGGTCACTTTCAAAATAGCTGCTCTCTCTGCTAGTGGGGCGCAAACTCGCCCCCAGCAAGCCACATGGAAAATGGCATGACCACTATCTGTCTGTCTGCCTGCCTGTCTGTGCACCGGCCAGCAGACCATGCTGCTGCCACCTGGGCTCGTTTACACCACCTGCTACTGGAGGAAACATCACATGCTTCTCATACTACAAATGCGACATTTTACATTTCTGGAAGTTAAAGGTCCGGTGTGTAGGATTTACAGGCATATGTTGTTAGAAACGGTAGCCCATGTTATATTTATTAAAATCTTTTCATTAGTTTTTAATCACCTGGAAATATGATTTTTTTTTCATTATCTTCGAATGAAGTCCGCCATCTTGTTTCTACAGTAGCCCAGGAGGAACAAACTAAACGCTGGCCCATTTTTTCACATCGGCCACTGTAGTCCTCCTACATAGTTGAAACACAGGAGAAGTTTGACTAACTCCTAAACACTAGACCTTAAAGAAGTTTCTTCACAAACACTGGTTTAAAAAATAAAGACACAAAAACGTCTCAGAAAATGTGAATTTTAAAGCAAAGTACTACTGAAAGAGTTATTCCAAACTCCACAAATACCGCTGCTTTGTCAGTCAGCACAAGACATTATAGAAAAAAAAAATGTAAACATGTTAGTCTGACTGAAATTGTACTAAATCAAATTTCTCAAAGACGGACTAACACCCCCAGATAATCAAAGTTCAAAAAGTTCAAAACGTTTTTATTGTCAATTTGCTATATGTGCAGGACATACAGAGAATCGAAATGTTGTTTCCCTCTCACCTAGTATTAATGTCATACAATTTAAGCACTGGAACATGCAATTTTAGGCCATGTTTACACAAAAACGATCCAATGAAAACAGAATCATTTCTCATTTTTGTTTTGAAAAAAGTTTTGATAATAATCGCCGTGCACACAGATCTGCAAAAATGACCAAAAACGCTGCAGTATACATGCCAGGCCAGTAGTTGGTGGTGTGACACTTGTGCTTCCTTCTACAGAGCGGCAATGTATAAACAAACAAAATGGCAACTGCACAAATGTTTGTCTGGACGGACGATGAGGTGGAGTTGCTACAGTAAATCTACACTATGATGGGGAAGCGTTGATAAATTCAATAGGGTGAGCAGCACAAGCAGAGCTGGGGAGTCCGCCATTGTTGTTGTGATGGTCAACTTTCTCTCTGTAGAGAGAGAGATTCTGTGTGGTATGGTTGATAGCTTCGGAAAAAGCTTAAAAGTGCACCTACAGTTATGATCTCTAAAATTAATTAAACAACACTCACAGCCTTATCAAGTCAGTAAAGGTTTATTCAGTCACTAAATGTTTCACAGTTAAAAAAAGATGATCTATAAACTTCCAGAAGCAATAAAAATAAAATCAGTTAAAATACAATATAGTACAATATCTCACATATTAAAGCTACTGTCCAGGTCATGTCCATTCATGAAGCCTTTGGTTTGCGTTTGATTACTGAATTGATCCAGTCGATATAGTTCCCCACTTTAGTGTAAACACCGGGTTTTCCAGAGCGGCCGCAGCCCTCTCCCCAGCTGATGATCCCATACAGGAAGCTGACATCATTCCTCGCACAAGCCAGAGGGCCCCCGGAGTCGCCCTGGTGAAACATGGGGGAAAAAAAATAGATACAGTCCACACACATAAACATAGATGCACAGATCAAAGCAGAGTCACACAAACAGCTAAGTCACACACTTGAAACCTAATATATTGTAAAAATCACACCACCTGTGAGGTAAACAGATATTGAATCAGACATTTAATTCAAGAGGAAGGAGCTTAAATGTTATTACACTGCAGGTTGAGTAGGTAGTCTCCACTCAAGAGAATCCCCTGCTGCCATCTTAAATGCTGCTCCGTTACTCTGATACCTCAAGTCAACTTTCTGATATCGACCCTTTCAGAGCCAAGGGAGGAGGTCAGCAATGACGTGGGCTCCAGGAGTCTATTTTTCCCTGGAACATTTTATGATCAGTCGTAACTTCCAACACTCACGAGCAACAGGACTGAAAAAACAGCAGAGTGTTCCCCTATCTCTTCATAAAGCAAACTTAAACTTGTTTTACGGTAAGAATTTACTAAGTGGAGATTTATGCATCACTAAATTAAAATGTGGTGTATCACACAAACTAATTTTTACATAAAGTTAAGTTTACTTCATAGTTACACCTATTAACTGCCAGATGTAGCTATTAACAAGCTAACGGAGCCAACTGATAAAGCTAATGCTGACATATAACCTGTTGAGAGTGAAGAGTAAAATAGGCAATGGTTGACACAACTGCTCTGGCACTTAAAGGGATAGTTTGGACTTTTTGAAGTGGGGTAGTACGAGGTATTTATCAACAGTCAATGTATTACAAACAGTACATGTTGGTCACCACGCCTCCAGTTTGGAGAAGCAGACAGGACGACCGACATTAAAGCTAAGCAATGTACTGCCGTTAATGGGGGCAGAAACAGAATGTATTATAGTTACCTAAAAAATTCTTTAGGGGCAAAATTTGCTCAACTGAAGCCTTGATATTCCTCTCTTCAAAGCCAGCCTCCCGTAAGAAGAACAGTAATTTAACATCCCTGAACAAGAGGGCTGCTGGTCTACCGCTGCATCGATCAGTCTGTTAGTTTGTGTTATCGTGTGACTTTGGCAGGAAAAAGGTTAGTTTGGATTCACCAAAGTCACGCAGTAGCACAAATAAACTAACTGATCGAGGCAGCAGTAGAGCAGCAGCTCCTGTGTTCAGCTAGCTAAAACAGCTTCCGTGTTGCAACGGGCTATCTACGTTGAGGTGAAGAGGTGAAAATATTCTCAATACAGTATACACTGTAAGCTGAATTTGATATTTTTAGGTGCTAAAATATGTTTTGCTGCTGTCCCCGTCCACAGCAGTACAATGCTCAGCTGCTGTGTGAGTCCTTCTATCTGCTTCTCCAAACTGGAGACGTGTCGACCAACATCTACTGTAGGTAATACACTGTATATGGATAAATACCTCATACAACCCCACTTAAAAAAAATATGAACTATCCCTTTAACTGCAATGCTTTTAAATAACAATGCAAATTGGGAAATTTTAGCTTTAACAATCATAAAAACAACACAATCTGACTAAAATTACAAAACATCATGCCAATAATGTCAGACTAAATGAATTTATTAGGATGCTTTCAATTTGTTTTCAAAATGTTTTCCTACCTGGCAGGCGTCAACACAGCCGTTGAGCCCCGCGCAGATCATGTCAGAAGTGACATGGTTACCGTAACTCTCCCTACAAGTGCCATGATTCATCAGTCTCACTCCACCCTCCTGCAGACTAGAGTAACCTTCTGCCTCTGTCAAAATAAAGCACAAATATCTCATTACATTACAACAAAGTCGACTTATTACCTGAACAGGGCCAACGCCAAGCCCCCCCAGGACACCAAAAATAAATCTAAATGTTTACTATTGTTTGGATGTGTCAGTTTGTTGTTGATTTTTCAATTACACTGTCTACACGTTGTATTTAAGGCCCCAACACACCCACAGTCCACCCACACAGGTGCTTCCACTAATGTCTGATTAGAACTGTGTGGGCTCAGACTGACTCTGCTTATTGAAATCACTTCACTCTCATGTGAGCTCTGTCATCATTCAGGGTGGAATAATTTACACTGTTGTTCTTACTTTATGACAACATATATTTTCCAGCATAGCTCCACCTGATTTCAACCTCACTTAAGGTTTACCTAGCCAGAGTAACAGAAAACACCTGTGAGGGTGTGCAGGGCCTTTAAGTGAAAAATCAACAAACACAACAAACTAATTTCTAACTAGAATAACTGCCCTGTAATTAATACCGAAATATGTTGTTCTTTCCAAGAAACATATTGGGAAATTATCAGTCTTTGAAGCCATGTTGACAGCGTGGCCAAACTGGATTTACAACTTCCAGGTCCGTCACATAATGCCATCGGGCCTAGAAAGACTTTTTCCCATAGACTTACATTGTCAAAGAGGCATCTGTAAATCTGTGGATTATTTTTTTGAGCACCGGCTAAATGATTCTTTCACTATTGAGATTTGATGCATTTTGTCTGATAACATTTCTACAGTCTAGGGGAGCTGCACGATTAAATTATTTTACCCCATTCAAGTTAGCGAAGGCCTAAACCGGAGGTTATCCGTTCGGCCAGCCAGAGTCTCTAGTGTGCTTGCTCTATGGTCCCATGGATGTGGAAGATCCAGGTCATTTTTATCCTGGGAAGTTGAATTTTTTTGGCTTCCTGCACCAGCTGAGCAACTTTCAGGGCCCCACCTCCAACGCTGTATCCAGGACTCTTTATACATCCATTGCTACCCCTCAAAATTCCCACAAAAGGACATAACCTCAGTGTCCTTAATGGTAGCTACAGCCCTGAACCTAAAGCCATTTATAGGTTATTGCTTTTGGTTAGTTGCTGCCACAGATGTTATCTAGCACCGTCTTCACTAGCTAAGACATTTTTCAGCTCTCCAAATTTACTAAATCATCTGTTTATTAAAAGTTAGTGGTTTCTTAGAACCTTGGAAGAACTTCATGCACAAGTGCAGTGATAGATTTGCATACACTATGCATACAACACACAAGTGCATGAAGCTAAATTGCAACCAACACATGTTCTGCTCTGACAGTCCAATACAAAAACAAGTGAATTATTTATTGGCGCTCCACTACCCATACTGAAAAAACTGTCTGCTCTGGTGTATGAATGTAGACAGGTGCCGTCTTGATGATACTGCAATGATTTCCTCATCACTCACTCTCATGCATGTGTCCCCAGCCGCTAATACTACAGCAGTAGTCATCAGGGAACGCCATGCCTTTGTCTGGGAGACAGATGGGTCTGATGAACGGGGTTCTCCTCACACACCGCCCGTCCTGCTTCGCCAGTTTGATCAGAACTGCCAAAAAGAAACGCAACATGATGAAACAGGCGATAAAAAGTGGAGTTCAAATAATGAAACAAGTGCTAGACTTGGAGACTGTGTTGCTCCGCCCAGCAGTCAGTGTTTGTGTGAATGTGTGTGTGAATGTGGGGGAGCACAGGGACACAGCTGCTCAGTGACGCACAGCTGTGCATGCAGACCGGGGTCTTAAGTGAGTTTGTGTGTTTCTGAATGGGGACAGGAGGTCTCCTAGTTTATGTGAGTCACTGGTGTGTGTGTGTGTGTGTGTGTGTGTGTGTGTGTGTGTGCATCTTAATGCTTACCAATGTCGTGTAGTGTTGGGTTAAACACTGAGAACTGTTTTGGAAAGATGTAATCCTCCACTCCAAATGTCCTGGTGTTGGGATCGGTGACGTTGAATCTCTGCTGGCCAAGCACCACTCGAATCTGCGACCTCAGAGGGCTGGGAAGACACACGATTATCAGTCGATGGTACCCATAATATTCCATCTGTCTGTCCAACATTTTAGTTCAGAGCCACGCTACCTCGACAACTGCCTGCTGAATTTCCTTGAACTTCGCTATGGATGATCCCCAGAGGATGAACCCTGGGAAGCACCACCATTAATTCAAAATTCACGTTTGCACAAGAACTATTAATATCTAAATGGCAGATTTCTGTCTAGCACTTTATGCTCCCCAAAGTATCAACCCTTTCCATGTTAGACCTCATTTAATGATCTCTTGGCACTTTGAGTGCTGCTGGTAAGTCTCTATTAACAGCTAAATGTTCATTATGCCCGACACTTTTGTGCTGCAGGGTGTCAGGAACACAGAGCACTCTTCTTCTACTTTAAAAACATTTTCAGCAGTAACAGTATGTTAAATAGAAGCCTTGCAGAAATCACACTGTGTCCTTTCTGAAGATAAAATGTCTTCTGCGCACCTCCGTTCCTGTCTAGCAATGTCTAATCCCATGATGTAATGCTTCAGCTGAGGATCTTTGAACTCGAACATGACAACACATGCCTGTCTACTGACATCAAAAGGGTAATGTATGCACTTGCATGTAAACAGCATGTGCGCGTGAGACGTTTTTAGGTTTTCCTCGAACTCAAGCTAAATATAGCGCGTTCGTAAAGCTGTGATGCTGAGAGGTCAAAGTCTTTGAAGTTGCGACCTCTTGTTCAGGTTCAACAGTCAGAAAATAGTTAAAATAATGCAGTGACACTAATACAAATATCAGCATCCATTGCAGCTGAAGTGCCCTCATGACATACTTGCGGAAGAAGCAGTGAGCCGCAGAGATGACCCAGCAAGAGGAGATCAGGCTGCCGGCGCAGAAGTCTGACTTTCCAATGTAAATGGCTGCCATCCAGGGGTGAGTACCTGGCAGAGCTGAGTTTCCGCCCAATATCCGCCCCCTGGCAATCGATAACCTCTTCTTGTGCTTTTTCCCACACACGTGCTTCTTTGCAGTCTTGGAGGGCCTCCGTCTTTTAATGCCTGGCAGGACATTAAACGGCATAATCCTTCGCGCAGAAGCTGCGTGAGAAATACAAGTTAAAGGGCATGATTCTTTCAAACTTAGTGGCACAATTGCGACTATGAGCTACAACAAAGCACAACAAACAGGTCTAACAGCTAGAATATTGAGTTAACACATTTCCTAAATACCTCTTCTGAATATTTTCGTTTTTGTCACTGGCTGATTCTCCCCTGCAAAAAGCATAAAAAGCTCTTGTATAGGGTGATAATGTCAGAGTAACAGAGCAACCTCATGCTAAAAATCATATGCTTGAGGAGAGCACAGCAGATGGGAGAAGCTTGTGGATTCTGTGCATACCCCTGGCATTATGACAGACAGCCAACTGTGCAAAATCCCACTCACCACATAAACATTTGGCTGCACCTGACATGACATGTTGATCCACGGTGAGTCATGATTCATTTCCCCCTTATCACATCTAGCCCACGTTTTCAAAAAAGCTCCGCCAAAAACCAGCCAACTTGGCTGATTTCGGCTTTTGCCGAGCGGCGTGACTCAACAGAGATTAGCTGTGTTCTCCGTGCTTTCTGTTTTTATCACAAACACTGGATTTCCAGTTAAATGTGGAGGCATTTAATGAGGTGTTGAGCTGTTTTGAATATGTCGCTGACTGTGTCATATCATCATCAAGGCTGCGGGAATGAAGATATAGAATGAAGTGGCCTTCGTAAATAGTCTCAGCTTTTCACTCTTTATAAAGATGAGTTCAATGTTAAAATAGGGGCCTGTGATAAGGACAGCAAAATGAAAATGCAATCCTTCATAAGGTGCATAAGGAAATATGTTCATTTGGCTTTGACTTACCTAAAAATAAGGTTAATAATTAATTGAAAGAGCAGGCATAATAAGTCAAGGGTGGTAAGAATTTGTTTCCAAGTGGAGGCAAATGAGGAAAAACAAACTGTTTTAACAACACCCCTGGCCAAGCTAACAGATATATCATGCTTTAACCATATGGCAGAGCAGCAAAATATATCAATAAATCCGTTTAGTGATTAAACGGGTGTATGACATTTCTGGCCTGACAAAATGTTTCAACGCACATTAGCCCTCTGACAACAAAAAAAAAAACCTCCAAAACTCCTTTCCTGTGCCCCGTTTACTTACACACAGCCATCACACAGGAGGGGACGTCACAGTACTCCCAGGAGATGGCGCCGTCATTTAGCGTGTAGCACCACGGCATCTTGTCTTTATCTGGGTTTCTGCACATACACAGAAACACAACGGACAGAGTGTGTGTAGGTGCGGCGCCATTGTTTTCAACACTACACGTGACTCAAGACAATGCAACAGCTAAATGGCTTTGTCACTTCTGAATGTGGAGGCTGAGGAATGATTCAGTTTCTCTGCTTTTACATACAAATTGTTTTAAATATTAGGAGTAATGTTTCACTGAGCTGCAATATGCAACTTTGAGTGTGAGCGTTTCAGACACTCTTGAATGTTTGTGCACACAGGTTTGCTTGAAATGGGCTTTTCTTCGATGTTTTGGGGCACATGCCATTTGCTGTGGGCCTGCCATATGGGCGCTGGGTAGTCATAGCAACGAAGACGACTGAGGAAGGCAGTAAGAAATGGAAGAAGAGTGAATGTGGGGGAGATAAGTTTTTTTTTTTATTATTATACACAGGCTGAATTCACCATGTGCGTCTTTAATGCTCACGGTGGTTTTATTGTTGCCAGTTACATCTGAGGCTCAGCCACATGAGCGACAAGTGTTGGAACATGAACTTCACAGATAAGGGGCACAACGAGCACGCAGCTTTGCGAGCCCAGGGTAAAAAGTTGGATATTGCAGCTTTAAAGTATTATTCATGGGAAAAGTAAAAGGAAATCTGGTGTTAAAGATAAGCCAGTTTGCACTGTAGCACCAACAATATGAACACAACATCTACTGCCAGAATTAGCAGATGTCTCAACACACACCTGCAGAAGGCATGTTCGCCAAGGCCCCTGAGGGGCGAGGCAACCACCGTGCCCACATGGAGCTCATCATACAGTAGGTCCGAGTTCCACGGCACACAACGGGCACCGGACACTGTGGCGTTCACTACCCCTCTGTAATCCGTGCCCCTGCCATTATAGCACTCGGACTCTGGCTCTGCACACACATGCACACACAGGCGCAAACACACAAAACAAACACGTCTCAATCAAGTCTCCATTCCGCAGCACAACACAGGTATGTAAACAATATGAATGCAATCGGACAGTTTCCAGATGTGTGATGACAGATCTATTTGCTTCACACTAAAATCAGTCGGAACAAGTCCCGACCACGGCTACAACCACTAAGTTTAGTGGCTTTCTTATGTCTTCACCTGCCATCATTAATCAAACCATTGTTACAAAAGCACATGCATGAACACACATGCGCTGTATGAACATGCACACATAACAAACATCACTTACTGTCACTACAGTGCTGCTTTAACTCACCGAGGCCGCAGTAGGGACCGCTGTAGCCACGTCTGCAGTTACACACTTCCTTGCCGGTGGATGTGATCAGTCGACACGTTCCGTCATTCTGACAAGGGTTTGAAGGGCACACTGGACACATTGAGGCAAACCAGGTCACATGTTTATACCATACATACTGTATATTTCCACAGTAAGCTATTTAACGGAATATGTCTGTTCTTCAAATAGTTAAAACCTGCATTAAGGTTTTTTTTTTTCAGATATTCACTCTCTTTTGGCTCTTTTGGTCTCCTCCAACTCTTGAGGGAAATATCTGGCTTTTTACTCACACTGCTCACTCATACCAACCTCATGTTCAGCCACAGCAGGCGGCTGTTACACAAAATAAGATCTGAGAAACTGAATGTTCACTACCTGCCCACCACCAGACACCAGACGGACAAAGTTAATAACTAGCTGTAAACACAGCGGCCGCAAAAGAGACAGATATTCCCCTAAAGAGTTGGTCTGCTGGTTGAATACATGTGAAACAATTCGCTGACATTAAGTGGCAAGAAAATCATGAATGGCAGGTTGAACAAAGTAGATCTCACCACTGAGATGCAACTTTTATCTGTGCTCAAACTTGTTTTAGCTATTAAATTTGTCTTCTCTGTAGTTCGAATAAACCAAAAGATAAAATTTAACTTGGAATGGAAATATAGTCTAATTTAATTTGAAAGCCAATTCAAAGGAGATGCAGGTGCGTTTATTTAAAGGACAGATTTGTTTTCACTGTAAGATAAGCCCCTACCGTCAGGACAAAAAACAGTTTCGGCTCAGAGAGCATGAAACCACCTTAGTGCCTCTTGCTTTTATGCCAGGGAATCAGTTAAATGCCCACGAACATCCCCCCATTGAGATGAAAGCACCTTATGGACCCATGGGGTGTGTCCTAAAACACCATTCCTGAGTCACAGTGAGTCATATAATCTGTCTATTCTTCCATGGCAAGGTTTGTCTTGTAACTATGGAGCTGTGATCAAAGAGAAAAGGCATGTCTCCAGGGTGGGAGGAGACCTGACACTTGTATCTTTTAAGGCTTTGTGAAATTAAAAAAACCTACAGACATCTTTACATAAAGTGCAGTATTCTACATTTTGAGTTAATATATCAGGTGTAAGGTATTAAAAAATGAAGCGCTCCTGCAAACTTAGCTAATATGTGGTAATTTCTAGTAAAGAAAGTTCACCTAACTGACAATCAGTCTCACAGTTTGTGGACGTGAATAGTGTCTAAGTGATTGTAAATACATTCCCGTCTTGGGTTTCACTCTCATCATCTCAACAAAAGCCGACCCCAGAGCAAAAACAAGACAGTTGAAGCAGAACAACAGCTGAAAGCCCATCTTACTTGTGTAGCGAACCCTCTCACACTTGATTTCCCCTGCCACGCATGTGCACTGTTCCACATTACGGAGGTGAATTCGTCCCCAAGACTCTCCGATGTCATAATGGCGCAGGTGTACGGTTTCATAGCACTTCTCTGTAAAAGCCGACACAACACATAAAAAGCAATAGGTTGAAATGTGAGAGGAGGCTGAGGAGCTCAATGGAGCGTGCAGAGCAAAGTTTGATGGCTGAGCTCTGCGAGATGCATTTTAAGTGGATACATTTTTGTGTGTGTGGGTTTTTTTTGTTCTCTGAAACTAAAGGCGAGTTCTCTGAAACTAAAGGCGAAGGTTCATCAAGGAGGGCATGAAAGTTCATTCTTGATCTTAGAAATAACAGTTTGACAAAAACAATTTCAAGTAAAATTAAGACTTTAAAAAGTACCCATGTGCACTTCATTATCTGCAAAGCATGTCACATCAAATATGCTTTTTAATCCTTTTATAAATAATAATCCTATGAAAATAATCTAATAATTTTCTTCTTATCAGCTTTTGCCAAAGCTTTCAAACACATCTCTGTCTCCATCAGCAAATGAAGACAGTTGCAGCTGACCTCAGTATAGTATTGAACTTGTGGTACACACAGGGCTGTAGTCAAGACCAACATAATCAAGTCCAAGTCAAGTCCAAGACCAGTCTGAGTCAACACCAAGTCCAAAGGCAGTCGAGACCAAGTCAAAGCCAGTCCAGAGCAAATTGAGTTTTGCTGAAGAAGTCAAATTTAATCATGGTGGTATGATCTCTCAGAAATTTGCCATCTAAAGTTAGCTGAAGTAGCTCTGTTAGCAGACTGTGCTGAGTTCAGAGCCAGTGTTGCTTGCAAACTTGGTGCACTGCCAGAGAGGAACGGGCGGAGGGAGGTGTATTTTTTACATGCATCAAGTTGGTAGAAACATGCAACATTCTGTGCAACTGATCCCAAAACAACAGCCAGAAACAACTTGACCACTTCTCAACAGAGTGGTGCAGGAATGAGTCCTTAAAGGTGGAAGTGAATGAGCATTTTTACACTTCCCTTATCTCAACTTTTTTTCTTACTGGGTTTTTGCTTAGATTCCTGAAATAAGGCCTGTGGTTAACACAAGCTTGAGAGATTGTCATGTTTTGTTCTACGATATAAAAAACTTCAATACCCCACCTTGTGAATTTTGAACGTTTTTTGTGTGGCTAAATGAGAATATAGAACGTCATCACGCCAAAACAGCCTTGTTGTGGTGGTGGTATTGAAATCATGCAACCAAAGTGTAGTTAGTGTATAGCCTAGTGTTAGCTTTTTACCTCTGGCATTTAAATTTACGCTTAAAAAAACCCACAAACATTTTTTGCCATACTTATTTCCTGCAATAATCCAAAATCCAATGGAAAAAATCCCATAGGCTTTTTGTTGAGGAAATCAGGGCCTACAAAAAAAGTCATCCCTGCAGTACTCTATAACTGAGCCCGAGACCAAGACGAGCGCAACACTTCAAAAAAGTGGTCTTGAAACTGGATTCAAGTAGCAGTCAAGTACTCAAAGTTTGTCTTTTACCAATGTTCATTCAACTTAATTCAACCAACTCAACTCCATTTGCTGATGAAGACCATGCAACGCTCTGAAAAAAGTCCTGTAATCAGACCCTGAGTCAAGATTATTCTGTCAAAGAGTTTTTTCCAGAGTTCAAGAATAAACTTTGAGGCTCAATTTTCACCATGACTGGAAAAAAGCTATCAGAGTGAAATGATATCCCTGTTAGCACATGTTTCCTTTACATATCATGAACCTGATGATAGAGTTCATAAGTTGACAAGTGTTAAGGAATTATTTCCTGGCAGAGACCTCCTGTTTCCTTCTGTGGCCATCAGGTGATTGACAGTAAGCAGTCTTATGTGTACAATGATATGGAAACACTAAACTATAAGCATCATGGCAAAGAAAAATTGAAAAACCCAAAATAAAAACTTGAATGGAGGACACACACACACACACACAACAAAACAGTGGTATTATACTTGTCAGTCCTAAAAGAGCAATGATCACCTACTCTGCTCACAGAGTGTCCCAGTGAAGCTCTCAGGACAGGAGCACTCAAACGAGGGTCTGTGTGGGATCAGCGTGCAGACGCCTCCGTTCTGACATGGATTCACCTGACATGGATCTGTGATTCGGCGTGACGTGTGGACAACAACTGTAACACATCAACGAGGAAAAACACAGTTAGAAGATAAACAACACAGTTTAATGATGAAATACTGTGCACTTGTTTAGTAAAGTAACCTTCTGGCTGAATTTCCTCTGTTGCACAGAAGCCCCACTGTCGATCCCGGTCAAAATTATGTGTGAGGGAGCACCTACAACAGAAGAGACAGAAATATAATACAGTCATCAGTCTGTCACCTGGATTACAAATCCAAGAAGCATTTGCGGTTAAATAAGGGTAGGGCACTATGATGACATGACCGTGAGATACTGTCAGAGATTTCGCCACCTTTAACATCTCAGGATGTCTAAGGCCATCACGGAGAACGCTGCAAAGTAATGAGTAGGGCTGCTTTATGGCAAAATGTAGCCAAGTTAGCGATAATACTTTATAGATGGCAATCTCAGTCGGTCAGTTTGCCACTTGGCATGATTGTCACTGCAATTAATACAAGCATTCACGGTTACAGGGAAAAAAAAATTTTAATGACTCTGTTTCATTTCCTGACCTTCCTTGAGGCAATGAGCAGGTTGACATTTGTAGTCCTGTGTGAAATGTCTCAACAGCAATTGGATTTATTGCCATGAAATTTGGAACAGACATTCAGACTTTGGTTTTTGATCAAACACCCACAAAACTTCCCATCAGCCTCAATTGTACTTTGTATTCAGTGCTAGTTAACAAATGTTAGCATGCTAAAATGCTGAGTTAAGACAGTTAACATGGTTAGTCTTGCATAGCCAGACCTATCTCCACACTTCGTTTTAGTGCTGTGCCAGTGCTGGAAAAAGGTCTGGCTGAACCCATCGTAATCCTGTACTAAGCAAAAAAAAGCTCTGCGTTGTTAGTATTTCTTTAAACCAATCACAATCGTCCTCTGTGGTGCAAAACCCATGATGTAACGATGGTGCCCTTGCTAAATAGTTTTGTTTGGGAACTTGTTTTGGTGGAACATTTGCACGTGGGAAGAAGAAGGAAAACACCAAAAAAAAAAAAAAGACATTAAAAGATGTTTTAGCGTGTAGGTTGCTAGCTTTGAGGTTGTTGTTGTGTGTGGTGATTTGCGTTGCTATGCATGACTAGTTTTACGAAGTGACGGGGATTTTGAAAACAGTAACATACATTAAGTGTCTACATCCTGTGAGTCTAAACGTGGTAAACACAAGTCCCCAGGAAAGCCGTTCGACCTTACAGCTAATTATTCCCAGTGGCCACTCGCGGTATTGCAGCAAAAAAACTCCCCTGCAGCCCAGAAAGCATTTTCCCTACAGGCTGCCATTTGTAAAAGAGACATCTGTAAAACTGTTGACAGGACACTTTCATGGTGGTTTTACACATGTAAAACTTTCGATCTGTGTCGTCATCACGATGTAAAGTCTATGAGTCGTGTGGGAACTTGTAGGCAGGGCCAGTGGGAGAAACACTATTGAGCATATTTAGTAGGCTGCACACAGAAGTAAATTCAGAAGCTAGAAAACTTTCTTGGCGTACACACCAGGTGAGCAACTCCATTGGAATGAATAGGCGCCATCTTTGTGTCAGGTATTTAGTTATTATTAAAATCTATGGGTAGACATTATCTGTGTTATACATCAACATATTAATGTCACTGATACTTGCATTTAGCTCTAGTACCAAAAGGAAAACGCTCTGTTTTTTTATCCATTAACAGTTTCTTAGTTGATTCTGAAAGTGTAATACACTGACATTGTGACATAGAACTACATGAGAGAGGATTTTACCCACCCCTAAATTACATCCTTTGAACGTTCAAGTACTAACAAGCTGCTCTAACAATCTGTGACGTAAATGCTGTCCTTTGTGAGGCCTGTTTGATCGTGAGAAAAAAAGGAAAATCTATCTAAACCATAACACTCACTAACTCTGTCAATCATCCACCACTTTAATCAAAGTAACATCAGCATTCTTCTGCGTTGCTCAGTGAATCTGCAGTACGTAATGACAAACCTATGTCGACACTGAGCTCATGAGCACATCGCGAAAACACGCAGGGTCATACTGCAGTAACTTTATGTGTAGGTGGACCAGACACATTGGGCCATATATAATTGCATTCATGTTGCTCCAACTTGCTGGCACGCACCCGCCATGTCTCAATTCTAAGGAATGATGACTGGAAAGCCCTTCAGCATGTTTTTTTTTCCAAAAATAAAAATCTAATAAAAAGAAGATTTTGTTGCTGTGTCACAATCTGAAGCAATAAAAATGATGGTTTAACTGTGGCAGCTGTTTATTCATCCTTAGAATAAACTGCAAGTAGTTAATATGTTTTAAACTACAGCCATAGTCACAGTTTAAGGAGATAGTTTGGATTTTTTTGGAGTGGGGTTATATTAGGTACTTATCCTTAGTCAGCAGATCACGTTCAGTAAATATCAGTCGGCACTCCCCCAGTTTTGACACAGAAGCAAAGCAATTTCCAAACAAAAAGTACTTTAGCCATCTAAAAAAAAGTCCCACCCTAAAAGATCAATATCAGTTTAAGTGTATGCTATATTGAGAGTATTTTCACTGCTTTACATTTACATCAGACAGCCCATTTCGACGGGGAAGGCGTTAGCGGCTACAGTTTCCCATCTGTACTCCGGTCAAAGTCACCAGGCTCCATTGAGAAAAACAGTCATTTTAGCTCACTGTACACAGGAGCTGCCATTCTACTCCTGCTTTGATTAGTTAGTTAGTTTGAGTTATTGTGCAACTTTGGTGAATCCGAAACTAACCCTTTTATATGCCAGTCACACAAAAATGCAAACAAACTAAATGACTGAAGCAGCAGTAGACCAGCAGCTCCTGTTTTCTTCAGTGTTAAATCACTGTTTTTCTCAATGGAGTCTGGCTGTGAAGAGTTCCCCTTGGAAATTACTCTCTGACGTTAAGGTAAAGCAGTGAAAATACTCTCAATATATTGCACAATTAAACTGATATTAATTCTTTTAGTTGGGCTGTCCGTTTTAGACAGATTTTCTACATTCTGTTTTAAGTCACCTTTAAAAAACTGCTGGTTATATTAAGTCTAAATTATGATGTTCTAGTGATTACAAGGCCCACCAGCGATTCAGCAATGATCAATTTATTAAGGCAAATTAGCTCATTACCTAATTAAAAATTGCATTATGTTTCCTGATGAAACAGCTGCATAAATCCCTAATTACTGTGAGCTGTAATTGGGTGCAGCTACCCAACCAAATTACACGCTGCATTAGGGCCCCTTCGTCAAATCACTGCCATTACTGCACTACCACTGATGGCAAATATCAGTGTCTTGTTCCTTTGGAGGTCATGCCAATTTTAGGGCAAGTCATACAAACAGCTGTGATGAAACACCTGCTGTCTGTGTGAGAGTGATGTAGACGAGGTGTGTGGTTTGTGAGTGAGTGTCAGAGCAAAACCAAATGTGACGAGGCAGCACTTCTACCTGCCAGGTATGTGGTAACTTTGTGTGATTATGCACACATTAGTGATTGTTTGGGTAACCAAAACAGGAGATCCAGACGGGCTGGCTAATGAAGACTCACCATGGTTTTGAGGCTAGGATGGTGAGGCAGTGATGATGAATCCTTCCACCCTGACGAAATGGGAATTTACATTCCTTGCCTGTTGTAGTAAGAACTGGCAACAGAGAGAAAAACAGCTTGTTAGTGACTTTCAGCGAGCACAGATGGGCAAAACACAAAGGAGTGAAATCAGAAAGTGTCTGAAAAAACATGTGTGCGGTTTCCCCCTGCACCTCACACACAAAGACTCCTTTGGCTCTGCACACAGCTCTGATCAGAGAACAGTAAATCCATGATCCTCTCCTCAGATAGTTAAATCATGCTGTTACAAGGCAGGTCACAGACCTATACAAACACTAGCTCCCACATGCTTTAGATTCATGTTGCAACAATAACTTTCTCTGTTACTGCAGCTGAATATATATCACAATCACTGCCAGTTCAATTTGCATCCCCCTCCCTCTTTTCTCCTCTAAATCAAACACAACACTGAGGTAAAACCTACCTTTCCTGCTCTCCCTGTATGGCTCTTTGGAGATGACTGTTTCATTCCCAGGGACTAATATTCGCTGTAATCAGGGAAGAGAAGTTGTTGCACTGTTTCTTGCTCTTTGCGCACGCAAAGTGGATGAAAAATACACACAAAGGTGAGTAGGATGGTTAAAACTTACCGCCCGCATACTGAAAACACAAGGTAGAAAAAGTAACAGAAGGTATGCCATGTTGAAAGTTTGCATCTGTTGGTCCCTGGTGTCCGGAGAGGCTTGTTTCCAGAAGTCGGAAGAGGGTCTGTGCGCCTGTCACGTTATATCTGTCAGTTCCCGAGTCCGCAGCCTTCTTTTGGTCATAGGAAACGTAGGAAACCCTGCAAGTATTATCCTGTCCCTCACAATTTCAAGCTGTATTGAGTAAAGTCGTTGCGTCATTAGGCATGTCTATCTATGAGGCATCCCATGTCCCGGCTGGTGTTCCCTCTGCACCTTCTCTGCAGACGCCCATGGTTTGTCATTGGGAGTTATCCCCGGAGAGAGGACCGAGCAAAACTTTCCAGAAGCAGAGGCAGAGGTGGGGGCCGCCGGGCCGGGAGATGGGGCTGCATCTATCCCCAAATCCCCCCCGTCCAACCTCTGGGACCGTGTAACGGTACCGCGTTACTCTGGTCTGACGTTACTTCTAGTTTGCGTCGATTATGTCAAATGTTATATCTGTTTAAGGTGTTGCTGAGTAAATAATACCTACTTTAAATAGGTCTTGACGGTTTTCATCGGCTGTAAACTGCAGGTGACCGTCCAGTTAACCTATTCATTGCTTACTTAATAGGGCTAAGGGAGTGTTCTTAACTTGTCAGAGGCGGTGGCTGGGCTATGACTTAAGGTTTGTTTTTGTTTTTCAAAATTTTGACCCTCCCTGAAGCTACACATATTTTACCTTGAGCCTCCCTGAGTAACTAGTGGAAATGCATGACCCTCCCTTAACAAAAAAAAAAATAGTTATTAGATTTTTAAGTCTTACCCTTCGATGTTTAAAAGTCAAAGGTTGAAACTTAAAGACATTAAAAAAAGAAAGCCTTGCTTTTTTCACTTATGTCGTGCATGCTGGTTAGTTTGTGCAAACAGTTTATTTTGGGCCAAGTTTTAAATGAATGACAATAAAGAAGGTGATTTTGATGAAATATCACAGTCTCAGGCTCAATTTTGCTTAAGTTTTGTTCCCTGATGGAAGCACTCATTCCACATGATGTGCCCAAGGACACATGGAAATTCGAAAATCCAACCATAATTTTGTTTTAAAAGTTTCTTGCTATGATAAATGGTGTAATTTTGGTGATGTTTAAAGAAAATATGCGCATTTGGAAGGCGTGTTTTCTTTAAAAATCAGTGGAGTGGCTCAAGGATTATGTTTTTCGGAGGTTAGCACTGGTTTCCCCTTTCAAAAAGCCTATGCAAATTTTCCATTGGATTTTGGATAATTGCAGAATATAAGCTCTGTGGCAAACAAACGTTTATGATACCTACACGTTTTGTTTGGCAAGATCATCTCCACAAATGAACACCATCATGATTATTGAAGCCTAAATGCAATTGTCAGAGGTAAAAAGCTAATGTTAGGTTATAAACAAACTAACTTACACTACAGTTGCACGATCTAACGTCACCACCATAACAAGACTGAAAGCTGTGCTCAGTGCAGCGCAGCTTGATCTGTAGTCTCATTTAGCCTCTTGTTAGCAGCCACCTTTTTTAAGACACATAAAAGCTTCAAAGTTCACTGGTGGGGTATTTACTGATGTGTTTTATGTCATAGAACAAAACATGAAAGTCTTTTTAAAGTGTTAACCACAGACCTTATTTCAGGCATCTAACCAAAGACCCATTCAAAAAACCTTTTGACTTTGAGATAAGGGAACCAGGAGCGCTAAAATGCTAACTCAATTACGGGTTTTAGGAGTCATTCCTGGGACACTCTATACAACCATTTAAATTAATGCGCCCCTTCCCGAAGACAAAATTTAAAAAAAAAACATAATTCCCTCACCTGTGTTTAAAAATATTTGACATGCCTCCTCCTTTTGGCATCACCACCTCCCCTCCTTATGAATAGCAAACAGTCCCTAAGGCAAATAGCATACTAAGCTAGCTTAACAGTAGGCCTATGTAACATTACAAGAAATAACAGTTAAAAACGTTAGCTAGTTCAACCAAGTGATTTACAGCATTATAACAGCAACATTAGGACACAAAACTTACATTACAGCATTCAAGAGTATTAATTTAAGCTCATAAAAAATAGCTTTTAAGTAAATTTTAATTCTGAAATCAATCCAATTAGTGTCTTTAGTCTAACGTTAATTTAAGCTAATGCTAGTTCAGGGCTGAAATGCAACCCACGTAGGTTTCCTCAGCCATTTTAAGTTAATGGAGTATAAATCCAAAATTAAATAGCAATTTAGGCCATACTCACATAACAACTTCATAAATAACTCCACAAGAAGTTAAGTTTTGTGTCATTTTTCATTAAACATATCAGTATTTTAGCATGCTTAGCAGTTAGCTAAATTTACAGTAAGCTAACTGGTAATCACGCTTCGTTAGCTAGCTAGCTAAAATACATAATGAACAAGACTTTACCCTGAAATATATTGCTGATAATAATGATAGCTTCCTGTCAGAGGATGTGACCAAGGCAAAGTAGCTAATGACATAACAAGAGATGTTACTTTGTCTTTTTAAAAGTCCTAAAACAAGTTAAAAGTGCATTCCACACTAGCGTTAGCCCCATCACACACAGTGCCAGAGTAGCAGCTATGTGAACTGGCAGAGAAGCAGAGAGTGGAAGCAGTCTAGACATGAAAACATCCACAGGTGGGCCATTGAGTGATATCTCAAGTTTTTAATAAAAGTTCAATTGTAGAGTCTATCAAACATCTGGAAGGAAGTACTGTTCTAATGAAATATTCAATAATGACAGAACCTTTAAACAATGCAAATATGAAAAGTGAAGAGCCCAACCAACCACTGCTAGGCCCTCATGTGTTGTCAGCATTCCAGCAGTGACATGCTGTGTCAAGACAAACTCCCCGGTCCCATAATCTAACCTCTAATTTTCACCAGCTGCAATAATCTCTCTCCAGATGCTGAGCTAAAAATACAGAGAGGAGGCTGGACGACTGAACAGCACGTCCACACTGACTACAAATCCCAAGGTGAAGGTGGTGCGTTTCCAAAGAGGGTATTGTTCAACTAAGACAACTAAACCGTTAATTATTGACAGTCCTGACTAACTTAGCAAACACATTTAGCTGGCCAAATATGACAAGTGGGAGAATTCAGGGCTGCGGACGTCTTATGTAAGACTTGGGGTTATAAAATTCAACAGAGGAGTATTTCAGGTTTCCTTTAACAACGGGGTATAGATGTTAACATGGGAGGGTGAGGATTTTCCTGCTGTCAGAAACACCAGGATTAATCATGCCTAATGAACAAAAGAAACAAGCGTCAGTTTTGTTGGAATTACAGCCATCAAAGCTTTTTAATCATTCAACATGTGGACAACCTCAAAACCACAGAAGCAGGAAGTACAGGCAACAAATGTACCATCATGTATTATCTGTAAAACATAATATACAGGAAATAGTTAAATATGCAAGAAAATTGTGATTTGCCTCCCTTTTGATCCTAAAAACAGAGTTCTTCCTGACATATGGTCCAACAAAAGTGGGTACCACTTTCTAATAGGGCAAAAGTTTGACAAAAAATGAAAACTCAAGGTTCACTTACTAGTGTTTTTTTTCTGGTTAGGTGGACGTTGTGCAAAGTCATAATGAGTTTAGTGTTTGTAAGTAATAAATAGCTTCATTAATGAATGAATCATTTAGTAATGCTTTAGAAATCAACTTTTTCCAGAGCTTTCAACTGCTACTTCTTCTTCTTCCTCCGCTCAAGTTGGGGGGAAAGGCTTGTAAGTGGACACTGGGTTAAGATTTTTCTGTCAAACTTTATAGAGTGTCTATAAATTGTAATTAATTGCACAATTAATGGTTTATCCCTTTGGCTTGTATATCGTCCATTAGCATAACTTACTTTCAAGTTAGCTCTCACATTAGTTTTGATGACTTACTAGAAAGTAAAGACTTACAATAAACCCATTAAATACAACTTATAAACTGTTTGTAATTCATGCCTGATTAGAAACCGGTACCCTAAAGTTCATTTTAGGCTTCTTCCGTGGTTGTCCTTGGTCTAACATGGCTCATAATAGAATTGCTTTGCACTTCATTATTAAACTATAGCATAACAAAACATATCACTGTCCAAAAATTACAACCAATACTAAAAATCAACAAGAGGACGGCAGAATTCGTAACAAATATACAATATCTATCACCATAATATTGATTTTGTTTCTAGAGTGTACATGCAGCCCATTGTTTGACTAATTCCCTTTCAAGACAGTGCCTCAGGCTTAAAAAGTGCAGCAGTGGGGGTTCCCTTTAGACAACTGTGGCCTTGTAAAGGTCTGTCTTGCAGTTCTTGCCCTCTGGTGGGTTGCGGCCATTCTGGGGCATCTGGGCGTTCCTCAGCTTGCTCTGGCACTGCCGCAGCTCAGCGACGTAGCCCTGGAAGCTCAGGCTCAGCTCAGAGTCCTCTCCCTGGGATGTCTCGACTGTTCCCTCCTCTAGATGAACCCCCTCCACGTCCATCACCTCCTGAGCCGTCTGTGCAGCGTCGGCTCTGTCGGCGGATGACTTGGTGTCAGGGTTTCGATCTGTAGTTTCTTCTGTGCATGAGGGAAAAGAAAGAAATGGAGGATTTACGATGAGTTGGTGCATTGTGTACGACCATGATAATATTTATGAGGCTGGTTGTGACAAAATGCAAATAGGCACTTGAAGCTTAAAGCTGCTATCATCAATTGTTTTGGCCAGTTGGGGGCAGCAAAAAAGAGAACACAACATATTGGCAAATCATCACCTTAAAATCAAAAAGTGGACAAGTCAACAAGTGGACAGCCAGGACACATTGCCATTCACACCTGTACGTCTCCAGCGGACTTCTTGTGGGGGCAAATGCACAGTTATTGCATCCAACACTCTTCCTAGCTGCTTGCTAGTCATGTTAGCAGTTGTGTCGCTCTCAGTAGAATAGGGATGAACCGATCCGATATCTGGATCAAATATCGGCCCCAATATCATCAAAACAGATCGGGTATCGGAAAATGCAACCTATACCCGAGGCGATCCTTTCCCTTTAAATCTATTGCGACACAAGCTACATCATATGTCATGGAGCGAAGGAGAGAATCTGCTGTGTGGAGGAATTTCACACTATTTCAACTGCTGTTACACAACTGTTTATTTTTGTTAAAAATAAACAGTTAATCATTGCATTAATCTGTTTCATCTTGTTTCCTTTTATCTTAGGAAAGAACTGTGTAGTCATCAATGCCTGATGCCTCTAGTCTTTTCTGTTCTACATGTAAAGGTATATAGCTTTTTAGGTCAACCATGGTATCGGATCAGTATCGGGTATCGGCTGATAATCAAAGCCACAGCATCGGGATCGGGATCGGAACTGAAAAAGCTGGATCGGTGCATCTCTACAGTAGAATCCAACACGTACCCTTCCATTCGGCAAAACAATTAAATAAACAGTCAAACTCATCGTAAAATGGTCAAGTTAAAAAGAGTTAGCATGCTGTCACCAAAAACAACCACCATGTCCTGCACTGATGATGTAGTCCTTGTCGGGGACGCATCAGGACGCATTAGCACCCACATTACAAAAGATATCTGGTCAAGTGCACCAGACTTTGAAGCCAATTTGGCAAAGTGTCCAAACTGTGTAAATACAACTTACAGGTCAATCAGTAGATACATGCTTTGAAGGTCACAACCCCTGCAAAATGACTTGTTTCACTTTTAGAACATGATCCATTCAGAAGTTAGCCGAGTCGACCAGTGGAAGTTAGCCACGCCACCGGTGAAGTCTCTAGTGTGCTCGCTCTTAGAGCCCAGTGATGTGGATATCTGGGCAATTTTACACCTGTGAAGTTGAACTTTGTTGGCTCCATTAACCACTGAGCAACTTTCATCAGAAGGAATGAAGCCTTGCCTCCAACACTGTATCCAGTTGTCTTTATATATATCTATGGGTCAATGTGTCCCAGAGCACCTCAGCAAGTGGTTTAAGTGATTGGATCACATTGTGTCATGGTGGTTGTTTACGCATGTATTAGCGCTGTCTGCTTGTGATCGGATCACCCAAGACACATGTTAATACCAGGTATAAATATGCTCTAAGTCCAATATTCACCTAACTATAGGTTCTGAAAAGTATTTGACTTTTTAGCTGCTGAAGCTCCATCATGTTCACCAGCTAAGGAAAAGAGTCAGACAGAAAAGAGTTGTTACATAAAACTGCTCACAACAAGGTCTGTGGATTATCTTGAGTAACAAAGTCACGATTTCTGGAAAGAGACATTGCTGTTGAGTTTTTCCAAATGCATTCTTTGGCACTTTGAGCACCACAAGCCGAGTGTCATCTGGTTCCATTATATTCGAGAAGGCAGACATCTCAGCTCAGCAACTCACACCAAAACAATCTGGACTGATCCATAGCAGTCCTCAAAGATATATTTTCTATAACAGTCACTAGAATCAAACAACTCGTTCCATCTCTGTGCATCTTTGACTCGAGGATCTTCAGGCGACTGAGCATTGGCTTCACATTAGACTGCACGATGACCAGATGCTTCGCACGACTGTACAAGATGTTACAAGAAACTGTCACCCATTGCGTGCACATGCATTTTAACTCTACATCGCTCAAATGAACACATCAGTGTAATATGTTTGTGTAATCTGACAATGGTATAGTTGTGTAATCTGGACAGCTGTTGTTAAGACAAAGTTGATGACATAACCGCTTCAGCTCAAACTTGCTGAACTCGCTCGCCAATTCCTGGGAAAGACGAACTGAATGAAATTGCAGCAGGATTAAATGTATTCATTCACTGACTTGTTGTCACATGTGGTATATTTCAACATTACCACTTGTGCTTCAGTCCAAACAATGCAGAGCTGCATGACCTCATCATACAGCCCCGAACTCAAGTTAATGAAACATAAAATCACATTTAAAGGGGGTGTGTTGGGCATTGGGATGTCAACATTTCCCTCCTCTCATGCAAGTGCACTCACGGGGCTAAAAACTGAAGTTTCCGGGACGCCGGCATTTAAGTTATGATGACCGATAAACTCTCCACTTCTCATGTGAACCCTGTGGCCCCACGGACTCTAAACACAGAGGCCAGAGTGACTCAAACACAGCACTTCAACACATAGACTCTCCTAACGGCGCTGACTGTGATTCACTGCCGTTGAGCTCAGATGTAAACACAGCCTGTGAGCTCCAACATCCAACCTTACACAGACCCTCAGCAAAACAACAACGGTGCAACATGAACCACTGAGGTGAACACGAAACACATTCAAGGAGTTCTCAACGACTGCTGAGGTCTTCTCTGAAGTTCAAGAACGTGATACGGACTTGTGTTTGACAATTAAGGCCTGACATTGATTATAATTAGATATAATCAATGATGTCGGCATCACAGGGTTTTCCACAGGATGTGATGTATTGATGCTGGTATGCAACTTCTAGATGACGCACTTTGATGAATTGGGCTTTGCCTACTGCTCACTCCTGTCACCATTCTGAACCAAGTGCGTAGGTTGCATTGGGTGGGGACACGTGAAACAGGGGGTTTCCATCCTCAGCCAAAAAATGTTGAGCACCAAACACTCGACTTCCTGCGTTCTGGTGAATTTTTACGCACCAATTCATGTTGTAATCGTCTTTAATTATGTCAAAATGAGTCAAAAGTCCTCTGCTACTTTCATGTGTTTATTGTGGGGGATGCACATGCTCTAATTACTGAGCAGGATGTGTCCCATGTGTCCGCCCCCAAAATCTACACCTATGTTTTCAACACCACTGTTCCTGCTATGGAAGCCTTCCGGTTTCTGGAATCCACCATCTCCAAGGACTGAAAGTGGCCATCCAAATAAACACCATCACAAGAAAGGCACAGCAGAGGGTGTACTCCCTGCTCCGATACTTCCATCACTATGTGTTTTGAATCAGCCACTCAGCAGGACAGGAACAGACTACAACAGACAGTCAGGACTGATGAGAAAATCACTGGTGCCAGCCTGCCCTCCATCCAAGACCTATTTACCTCTAGACACAGGAAATGGGCTGGTAGCATCAGAGCACACCCTTCACACCCAGGACACAACCTTCTCTCCTCTGGTAAAACAACCAGACTCGAGAACAGTTTCATTCCACAGGCCGTCACTATGATGAAGACTTGTCACCAGTCACATAGTGTCAGGAACAATGCCTGTGCAACACCAAGCATCACCTAAAAATCTGTCGGGCATAATTCAAGCATGCTGTATACAGTGAATATACTGTCACATCCAGCTACCTCATGGATATAAAGCAACTTATGACATATATCATTCTGTATTTAATCCAGCACAATTTGCACTTGCGCTATTTTTCTGTCTATATATAACTGATATATATCAGTCCATGATCAGCTTTGTTGTCCATGTTTTTAGCTGTATGTCTGCGTCTAAGCCAGTGGTTCTCAAATGGCGTGCTACAGCAATTCCAGGTGTGCCGTGGGATTTTGTGATAACCACACATTATTATTAAATTATTCAACTGGGCCTATACAAAAAGCAAGAGGGTTCCTGGTTCAATCCCAGGAAGTAGCCAGGCTGGATTTTCTCCAGGTACTCCAGCTTCCTCCCACAGTCCAAAGACATGCAGGTTAATTGGTGACTCTAAATTGTCCGTAGGTGTGAATGTGAGTGTGAATGGTTGTCTGTCTCTATGTGTCAGCCCTGTGATAGTCTGGTGACCTGTCCAGGGTGTACCCTGCCTCTCGCCCAGTGTCAGCTGCCTATCCCAGCATGCACTGTCTTAGGGGCAGGGATACACACTTAGCAGGCTGCCAATCTGTCACAGGGCAAATGAGAGGAGACTGTCCTGCTGTAACAATTGAGCCACAGGTTCTTACACAAAAACGTAGGGCTGGGCGATACAGAGAAAATTAATATGTAACGATAGTTTTGACCAAATACCTCGATATTGTAAGATTGACTTTTGGTGCTTAAACAAAATATTTACACCTGATTTTTGTAAATAATCATCAGCAATGTGGATATAATGACTCACTGGGTAGTTTTTTTTTTTTTTTTTTTACAAGTGATGACTTGAGACACTGTTGAGGTTTTGCTTACTCATATGCTTTTAGCAGGAGGGGAAACTCCAATACAGTTTTTTTACTTTAAGTTATATGGATCATCTTGCCTTCTCTACAAGCCACCTCATTAGAATAAGTGTATTTTCCTTCAGGTTCCATTATATACCCATGAACCTCTCTCAATCAAACATGTTTTCAATATTCAAGCTTGCTGACTCTGCTGTTAGGTGTAAACACGAAGCCCTGACACAGCCGTTTAACACAGCCGTACCTCCTGCGGCGACGCTTGTCCACAGACATGGCAGCAGCTGGGGAGCTGAAACAGACCAGCCAGTCTGGACCGGGCCCAGCGACCGTCCTCGCCCAGGCCGACTGCCAAAGATCTGCATCGAGCCCTCCTCTAACCGCCAGATGGATGATACAGCTGGCCCAGGGTCAGAGGCCGCCAGCTTGGAGAGCTGACACAGAGGCATGAGGAGGTGAAGATGGTGAAACAGGCCTGAAGGAAAACTGAGCCATATGGTGCCTCAAGTGTACTGCTGAGTCATTACAGAGCATTCTTTGTAGATAGCCTCGCCTCAGGGAACATGTCCCACTCACTCCCAGGGCCAAACGTTTCCTCTGAATTAAAACTTGAGTATCTAACTTCCAGCTTTAACTGCAGGGAGGGGAATAAAAACACTATTTCAACATGAACTCACTGAATTAATCAGTTCTACTACTCCGTTCTTACTCCCCAGCTTTATCTCTGACCAAACTACAAACTTCATGCACTGGGTTCAAATCAGCCATATGAATAGAGTTACACTGTGTGATGTCGCCCCCTAGTGGACATCCTGATCCATACCAACCAAGCCTACAGACTCTGGTGCTTGCCAGACAGAAAGAGGTGATTACAGCCATGATTAGAAAATGATCATGGAAACATGGGGCTGCAGTTTTCAGTTCAGCCCTTCTGGATGAAGACCAGAGGCCCTCTGGTTTGGATTTTAACCATCTAATTAGGGGCTAATTTACACGCGATATGCCAAGAAAACGCAACCACTTGTAGGACGTGAAGTACTCGTGGTACTACGGATCACTGTTTTAGATGCAAATGCTTATACTGGTGTCAGCGTAGATTGTTTTCTAGTGCAAGAGGAGCTGTCAGGGTGTCTACAGGGATTTGACACTTTAATTTAATGCTTTTCAAGATCATTTTTTATTCAAATTTAAGACTGATTTTCAGACAAATCACCTTTTTCTTCATCAAGCATTGCAGATTAGTATTAAGTTAAGTATAAAGGCAGGTAATATGTATGTAGTCCTGTGCAGAGGTTTGTTTTATATAGGATTATGGTTATTATTAGTGAGTCAGGTTATCTACATGTTGCAAGCTTTTATTACATAGACGAGCTTGACTCATTTTGACAGAAATAAATTCAAAGATGGATGAATGAAATTAGATTGATTATTGGCAGCAATTAAGATCTAAAAATTCAAATTCAGGACTATATAATGACTTAAAAGGATTCATATTAATGTAAAATTTAAGACTCTAAAAGGCTTTTCAGTGTGTCTCTTGAATGCATTAATTAACTTGTGTGGTTTGGTGACTGCAACAGAACCAGAGGAAACGATTAAGTCCCTTTATCCTCTCCCTTTCTGTATTTCTTTATTATTTATAGCACAGCAGCAATGGTGTTGTAGGAACATGTTGATCCACCTCAGCAGCAATTATTTATTCCCTGGGAACAGCAGAGGGCATCAGTTTAACAGTGATACACAATCCAGAGAAGGACGTCTGCAATTACTGAAACCCAGCAGATTGGCACAGTAACAGAGCATAATTGCTACTGAACCGTTGCAAACTTGTTTGGACTGAGTGGCCTCTGACTTATTCAGTGGGTGTTTGTCTCCTGAACACGTTATTAAGCCTGCGAGCGCAGCTCTCCACCACCAGAATTTAAAAGTAACAACTTAACAAAGTCTCTAAAAAAGTGGAGGCGTGTTAACTCTGCTGCATTTCCATGTTTGCAGATCGCTCGCAGATTCTGCCTCGCCGAGGTGGCGCGCAGCGTTAGAGACACGGGCACATTGAATCATAGCTGTGTTTCTATTTTAGCTGGTGGGAGAAAGGGAGAGGGAGACGGAGAGGAATAGGCTGGGAGATAGATGAAAACCAGCAGTGACAGTTTCTATCTGTAGCTCAGTCAACTCGTGGATAAGGTTACCATGGCGCCCAGTGGTGGGAAGAAATCAGGCTGATGCACTTAGCAACCAGAAAAGAGGAGCAAGCCTGTGGAGGAGCTTCGATTCTTCCTCATCATCCTGTGTACTCATCACCTTACATTAAAGCCTTGCTATTCATATGAGGCAGTGAACGTGTCCGTGCACTTTCCATAAAGCGCTTTGAAGTGCTCGTCAGCTTTGTTGGTGGAAAACATTATCTTCTCTTTGTGTGGAGTTCACAGGGTTTCAAAGGGGGTTTCCTGGGATTTCCTTCAAAGACAAGAGTCAAAACGTGTTGCGTCTAATTGGATATCTGAACACAGAAAGCTCTGTGGCCTCAGTTGATGTCTGAAAATCTACCCGTCACCAATACAAATCAATTCACCTTGCCTTAGAATCTCAGACACATACACAGTGGAGGAGTGGGGGGAAAAATGACATGGACGGGAAACAGAAAATGAAATCCATCAGCAGGAGCTAATGATATTGCACTCTATAAACAAAGAACCGACACTCCAGCACATAATGGCAAGCTTAGAAAAAACACACGTTCAACAGCAGACGGGCTCAAAGAGATCCACAATGCCACGCTTTCAAAAGCTACGCACAACAGAGCAGCGACCCCATCAAACAATAACACCAAGCAGGTAGACCAAGCAACGAGAGCGCACCACACTACACAATCTGAGCAGAACACACACACACACACACACACACACACACACACACACACACACACACACACACACAGTGAGCAGCGACACCCTGAAGCGAGCGCACACAGAAAAGTACACAAAGGAGTGGGAGCTGATGAGAGGAGGGAGCCACAAGACAAAATGAGACGGAGCTAAGGGAGAACGGGAGGAGGCATGCGGAGGCGGAGAGGTGGTGGTAGTGGAGGAGGACGAGGAGGAGGTGGGGGAGGTGGGGAACTGAGCTCACAAACGTGTAAAAAGACAGACGAGAGTGATTTCCAATTCTAACATTTATTAGATCGACTCAATCACAGGTACAGAGTTTATTGGCAGTGATTATCTACAACAGGAATCTAAAGAGGGAGTGAATGACCCAGATAAAGAATGAAAGGCAATTCAACAATGTCACCAGCGCTAAGGAGCACTTGTCCTCCAATGACTAATTATTTTCACCATTGCTCAAATTGCTACAGCAGCAGCTGACACCGATTCATGACTCACCGGTTTTGGTGAGTGAGAAGAAAATAAGCTTTTTGACATTGTTGAATTGCTCTTAACTGGAGGTGGTGGGATGGAGAGGAACACAGCATTTGTTTTCGTAATGACTGTTTAGCATTCGCAGGTCCAACACTGTAAAACAATTTCATGGCTCTGCTTTGCTTCCATGTTTTCTAATTGTACACAATGAGCCTGTGATGCCAGGAAACTGCTGCTAATGTCATTACTTTCAATTGCTCTGAATTATACTCCTCAGCACAACATTCACTGACTACAGTACTGTCAAATATTGATCATTATCTGTATGCACTAATATGCATAAATTATTTATTCAGAAGCTCTGCAATCAGTTACATCAGCACTCTCATGCACCCAACACTACTAAATAAACTAAATATTTAACTGGAGTAAACTGACCCCAGTCATGTGGCGAACCCAACGATTTGTGACATGGGAAGTGACATCCAAGTAAACGTTACTCACTGAACAAAATATACACATCACTATTTACAAGGTTATCCGAGTGTAATTAAGATCAATCACACACATGCTTTGCTAAGATTAATCAAACAAATCAGTTTAAATGAACGGCAAACTGAGAAAGAGTCAATTTGTCATTAAAGTGCATCAGAGTCAGTGTAGAGAGAGTTTTGTCGTGAAGGCAGTCGGGTTCAGACCGCCTGGGAGAGAGCGCACACATGCACATACAACACACACGCAAACACACAGAGCACTGGTTTGTTACACTGTAGAAATACCTGAAGTGGACTTTCCCTCTTCACCTGCGTCTTGAGACTTGGGGCAGGGTGGCGGCGGGGTGAAGTTGGCTTCAGGCAGGCTGCTGTCGAAGGACGGTATGGAGGACGGCGATGGAGGCAGCAGGGTGCTGTTGGGGCTGTTGATGTCGCCCTCCCCCACCAAGGTCAGGTCAGTGTGGGTGTCCTCCTCCACCGTGCGGAGGCTTGGCCGGGAGTCTATGGGCCGGGGGATGGGGGACAGGTGGGTGCCAAAAGTTGGGTGGCGAGGAGGGGGCATCAGGCACCGCCTGGTCCCGGAGTGTCCGTTGGCGCTGGAGCTGAGGGAGGAGTCCAGGCTCTCCGAACGAAGGCTGGCGGTGAGGGCCCCCCGTGAGGATATGCCGTTCTCCCGGCGGTCGGGAGTGGAGCAGGCCAGGTCAGAGGAGATGGAGCAGGAGGAGGTGGGTGGAGTTAGACGCAGGAATTCGGGAAGCACCAGGTCTTCTTTGCTCAGGAGTCCGCGCTGGTCGTTGGCTCGGGTGCTCTGCGCCCGGCTCAGCAGCTCAAAGAATTCTGCAAAACACATCAAACAAGTCTCCTCAGTTAAACTTTCAACACAGGTGAGCACCTGGAAGAGAGGGATTAGTGGAGGTTTAACATGCAGTGTAGCAGCCTCACACCTGACGGAGAAAATAACCCTCCACAGCTGCCAGAGCTATCAGTTAGTCCTGACGCAAAGCAAAGCTAAGAAATCCACCAATAAGTCCAAAAAAAGAGAGAAAGAGAAAGAAGGAAAAGAGGGATTTACCTTCAGCTTCATCTATATTAATCTTTTTCTGTTTTCTCTTTTCCCCTGGGAGTGCTGAGTCTGGTCCACTTGCTCTCAGAGAAAAGTCCTTTGGTGTTGACCTCTCATCTCCCTGCAGATGCAACAATAACAATGCACTCTGTTAGGGGATGGAGGGACGGCGAGGGGAGGGGGGAGGAGGGGGTCGTGAGGCTAAGCATGAGCTGCCGAGCACCCTACTGAGCAGAGTGTCCAGATTTACTGAGACCCTCATGTAAAGACGAGCCTTGTCCATCTGCTGGCTCTGTGTCGTCACTGACCTCGCTAGCATCTAGACCGAGTGCTGTCTGCCTACATATGGTAATAACTCAAGCATGGAAAACACGAGCGAGTGAGTCAGCCACAGGCAGTGTTAGGGCGAAGGATACCAACAAATCAGGAAATACACACCAATTTGAAGCTTGTCAAAGATTGTAAATGTTAATAAAGATTCGTGTGGGCCACTCGTAAACGATACTGAATGTTGCAGAAGCAGCGCAGCAATAGGAAAGGACACCACATCTGGATTTTTTAAGCAGCATGTATGAGGATAGATATGTTGTGAGTACTTACTGCAGCAGAATAACTCCTGGTTGGAGGGTGGTTTTTTAGGGAGGAAGACTTGGGTTTGTCTGTTTGAAAGAGATACAAGAGAGAGATGAAAAATTCATCAGGGTGAGAAATTGATGAGGAGAGTGAGACAGAGAAGAGAGAAGAGGACACTTTACACAAAACAGGCATCAAAATTTGAATATGTTAACCAGGGGAATAACAGAGGCGGACATGATTTACAAATGGCAGTTAAAGGTCCAGTGTGTAGGATTTAGGAGGACATATTAGCAGAAATGGAATTTATTATAATAAGTATGTTTTCTTTAGTGCAAAATCACCTGAAAATAAGTTGTTTTCTTTTCTTTAAAATGAGCTGTTTGTATCTACATAGGGAGCAGGGCCTCGCCATATTACACCACCATATTTCTACAGTAGCCACAAACGGACAAACCTAACACTGGCTCTAGATAGGGCCATATGCGTTTTCATATTAGCCACTGTAGTAGCAGCAGCCCTTTAACGACGAGCCCAACAGCTTTGGAAAAACACAGATTTTTTTAACATGGATCTGCGTTAATCAGTGTTTTTACTAGTTAAATTTGTCTCCCGATAAAAACCTCTTGAACCTCCTTAAGTTATCAGACAAAAAAAGGTGAGCACATATTAGCAGGTGCTGTGCTAGCAGCCCGTCTTTGACGATCCAAACAGCGTTGGAGGAACAGCAATTTGTAACGTGAAACTGCTTTATTCAGTGCTTTTAACAGTTAATAATCAGATTAATTTATGATCTGATTGCCGGTAAAAAAAAACCCCTCTGAACACTGAACACTGAAGGAATTCAAACCATGAGTTCACGCTTGGCACATGGGAGAAGTTTTAGCTGGTTGAAATCGGCAATCCTCACCACTAGGCGTCACTAAATCCTACATCAGGAATACTCACCTCGTTTTCCCCAGGGGCCACTTTCACAAAATTTCAGGCGGCCAGGGGCCAGTCGCAAAATGCCCCTACGTAGGTCAGCTTTAGGTAGGGGCGTTTCTAAGTTTCTTTGTAATTCAGCGCTTAGCCTGGAACCTCTGTCAAAGGTCAAGGAGATCTTCCCCTGGCACTTTTTTGATATACAATATATACTATTTTGATGCTTTTAATGCATTCTGGCACCTTATTTATCTTAAAAGCGCAAAAAAATCCAACTTTTAATGAACTTCTTTTCATTTTGAATCAAAAAATGGTTGGAGAGCTACATGGAACATGGTCAGTGTCCTTCAAATTTCTCCTTTAAAGTCCAGTGTGTAGAATTTAGTGGCATCTAGCTGTGATGTTTCAGAACTAAAACTTCTCCTGTGTGCCAAGTGTGTAGAAAAACTACAGTGGCTGACGTGAAAACATGGCATTATCTAGATCCACTGTTTGGTTTGTCCTTTCTGAGCTTCTGTAGAGCAACATGGCAGACTCTCTGGAGCAGGAGTGTTGTGTATGTAGATATATAAACGGCTCATACTAAGGTAAGAAAAACACAAACATTCCCTGTTTTCAGGTGATTATGAAAATATAGTTAAGAGTAGTTTTTTTTTTTTTCCCCCGGTAAATCTGCAATATTAAGTATTAAATATTGGGTAACAGTGTGTTTGATGGCCTTACCTTTCCCTGAAGCTGGGTCCGTTCGCTCCAGCACAACCCGCAGACCATCCAAACTCGATATGGGGGCACCCAGGTCCAACGGCTCAGTTTCTCCGCTCTAAAACGAAACACAGTTTGCTGGTCAGCACGTTGTTACCTCCACCTGTTGTGCACAAGTCTATGGTACAGTTTCTCTCAGCATATTGAGCACATGGCTGATATTTGAGTTCACAAGCCTTTGCTTAATTCATAAACCATCTTTCAGCCCGGGTCTACTGTATAATACAGCTATAATGCCTGGAAACCCAAAGGACTAAAATAAATCATCTGGCAGGGGTTTAGGGGAGGAGTAAAGAGTTGGCATGTTTGAGGAGTGTCGTCATTCTTAATTATAGCCCTGGTGCTCCATCTTTGGAGGCTGGGCTGAGTCAGAGTGCTAACCACCGTGTAGAGATGGAAAAGGATGCGGTCGCTTCCCTCCCCTAACCATGATACTCCACCCTGGGGCACTGTCACACATTACACACGGGCTGCTCCCTGGACACACAGGAGCTTCAAAAAGATCGAGGCATCGTAGCCACCGGGGACGACTTACTATTTTGGCCACAAGATCGCTGAGGTGGAGGCCGTATTTGGCCACCACGGGACGCAGGACCTCAGTGACTGGTTTGGTAGGTTTGGCTTTCAGCCCCACGGAGCGGTTAATGGGCACCAGGTCCAGTCTGGGAGCAGGAGGAAGAGCACAAGTTAATTTTAGCTTAGACAGGAAATGTGACTCAAAGAAAATTGACAGATCCAAGCAAAATATTCAGACCTAAACAAGGTCCTCTTCTCCAGTCTCAAGTCTCGTGAACTAAGGGTCAAACAGTCTTGGTCTAACACCAAAGGCTGTGAGGGGAAAAAAAACAACATTAAACTACACATCAGCAACACACTGAATACTGTAAACTATTTACACAGTCATTGTCCATTTTAATCCTCAGCTTTTGTCTCTGAAATTCTAACAATGACTCCTCACAAAATAAAGCATGTGTAAACGGCAAGTGTTGTCGTACTTTATTCATTAAACTTTGATTTATAACAAACAGAAAGTTGAGTCAATTCATTCAGGATGTGCTTGCAGCAGTGTTCTGCTCGCTGATGTATTAGCAGCAGATGTTTTCAGCATTTGTCAGTGTTTTTTTGGCGCCTGCCTCCCTCACCTTCTCCCCTCCCACCAGGAAGAGGTCAACAGCAGCGATGTTGATGTTAATGTTTTGACAGAGATCTTGGAGGACTTCCCTTATGGAGGCTCCGGGACGAAGACTGATAGAAGAGCAGGAACCGTCAGGCAGCATCACACTGCAGTGTTTGGGGGAGCGCTCCCAAACTGAGTGGCGATTATCAGCCTGAGGACACAAGATTTTAAAAAAAGAGTCAAACTTAACATGCCTTCAGAGTGCAAGCACAAGCAACAGCTGACTGCAGGTCACCGTCTGAGAGAGGTGTCTCTAACAGCAGAATACAGAACCTTTAACTATACATAGATTCAGTTGGAATTGCAGATAGTTTTTCTTTACAACCTGATTTATACCATCCATACACAAACAATGAGTGGGCTGACAAGCAAAAAAAAAAAAAAAAAAAGCATCAACTCTGGCCTATTATGATGGCTTCACCAGACACTGGGCTCTGTGTTGCCATGGTGATCTGTCCAGAGGAATCTTACCTCAATCTTGCCAGCAGAGCAGGAAGTTGGCATCTCCAGACTGGTACCGGACGACAAGGAGCCCTGGGACTCCCTCCGCCCATTACTGCCCCAGTAGTCTGCGGAGACCAGCACAGAGGGTGATGAGTTCACGCAGATAAGAGACACTTGCAAACTACTTTCATTAGATGACAATACGCAACACGGCGACAGTGTCAAGCTATAGCTGACAAGTTTTTTTGGATTTATGGTCGTAGTTTGACCCAATGTCTTGGCAGGAAAAGAGATATTTTGCCTCCTTCAAAACTTAGTAGATGAAACTCTTTGGTGTGCAAAAATGCCAGAGTTGCATCAAGTATGTTTTTGCTAGTGTGCCAGTGTTGTGTGTGTAATACTTTGATGACCGCGGGGCAGCTGTGTTTCTACATGCCTCCCCCGCAAGTAGCTCATGGCAACCCTGGAGTTGGCAGAGATTTGGTGTCTTGTTCAAGGACACATCAACACTTGGGGGAAGTTAGTGTGGTGCAAAAGCTTAAAACCGCGGGGATCTTTGTGACCAGCAGGCGACGGGCTTGTTAATCAGTTTCTCACCGAGGTTAATGTCTCCTATGTCCTTTTTCTTGGGGCCCTTCCCAAAGCTCCTGTTGCGGGACCACGAGAAGAAGATGCCGCGTTTTTTGTCGGCGCTCTCATCCCTGCTGTCTTCATTCAGTGACCTCCCTGACCTCTGCTTCCTGGCGTCCTATTGATTGGAGGACAAAAACAAAGATTTAACCTGCTGTGTCTGGTTGATGAACAACGTCACCTCCACATCGTATTTCCGTGACCAGCTGCTGTGAAACAATAGCGGTACCTTTTTGGGAGTGGAGAGTGTAGAGCGGTCAGAGCTGGCACTATGTTTTGAGGGCGCAGGACTGCAGGGGATCTGGTAGGGGTCCGGCAAGGGTCGGCCATCCACCTCTGCACGCATGCACTCTTGGTAGAGGGAGGACTTGAGGAATCGCGAATAGCTGTCAAACTTCATCAGGTTGAAGATCTGTAGATGTGAAAACAAAGGGTGGTGTTAGTGAGAGAAATAAAGCGTTGGAGAGCAAAGAGGCATGTAGGGAAGAGCAAATGAGACGCAGACAGAAACAAGAGAGAAGAAACTACTAGTGTTAACATATGGTTACATCTGATGTTATGACAGGTGTCTCAGCAGTTAACAATTTATCATGCTGGTGCGCAGGCTGGAAATATACAGATCTCTGACTGCATGTCTATGTGTCTGTGTGTACACTATGCGCTAGATTCTCTGTGGGTGTGTGCCAGTTTGTGTTTATCTCTCTGGTAAAGGCTCAGAGCCTTTTCGTAAACAAACCCAGATGGCCACTGAAAAAACCCAATATGCTTGAGCAAAGTGACTAAAGGCTAGATGAGAACAACCCCCCCACCACCACCACCACTGTCAAGAAAAACGTCTTGATCTTCAGTGCTGATGCGGAACGGCTGAATTATTTAAATAAGTCAAAGTCTAAATTAACCAAAGACATGAAACATTTAAATATTTGCAGAAGAAACACATTATTTACCAACTAATAGGCTACGGTTATTAGATGAGCTTGCTACTGCTGCTGTCTTGTTGGTACCTGTAACTGCTGCGTCTTGAACATGTCAGGCCGTGGGGAGGTGAGGACGTCATCGGCCAGCTGGGCTTGGCTGTCGATGTTGACCGGCATGGTGGCCTTGCTGGACAGGAAGCTGTTGTAGATCTCTCCAGCTCTCTGAGACAGCTGCAAAACAGAGGTTTGATGATGCAGAGTTTCAAGAACAAGGACAGGAAATTATGTCCCTACATTTCTTTATATCTTCTCTTTTATTTATATATTTTGCAGACAAATTATATAAGCATCAGGATGTAACTTCATGTGGACTGAATCTTTGTAAATAGTTGCTATTTTATTATTGTGGTTGCAAAGAATTCCTGCTTTTCTCAACTCAAAGGACATGGAATATAATTTCAAGACATTCAAGTGTGGCTGCTCTAACCATGACACAGTCACAAAAAATGACATGCTGTTCATGCATGCAGTGTGGGCCTGGGCTTAATGCTCATTTTCAGGTTCATACTTGTATTCTGGGTTTAAACTAGAACATGTTTACACACGTTAATGGTCATAAACACTTTATTTTCCTCACGCTGTCTGTGCTGGAACACCGGTATTCACCCTCTGTCTGAGACACTTTGTTTTAGCGCTTGTCTGCTCCGATTGGTCAGTGTTTTGTGTCTGTGCTTTCTATATCTCTGCACCATCACTGCAGTTGGAGATAGACTGTAACGCAGTACAGTGACACTTTCTACCATTAAATTCACCGATAAAAGTTGTGTCCACAACTGGACATGTTCCAGCAGGAATATGATCCAAAATAGAGACAGAATTAACAACATCGGCAACCAAGATTGCAAGTTTCCTGACATTAGCATATGTAGCACTGTAGCTACATGATATAAACCCTTGCAGTAGCGTGCCTGGAGCAGATAACCATAAAAAGAAATCACAAGCTGACATCAGCTGGTTTCAAAAGTAGATAAAAACACAAAACATCGTAAACAGAGTATTCAGGACCGTCTGCCTGAGGTTTCTGCTCACAGGGATCGCTTTTACACACCTCATAATTTGAAATTTAAGCCACATTTAACATGAACATCTGTACAGTGTAACATTATATAAATGACAGAGGATAAAAAGCACAATAGTTCCCATTTAAGTCTATATAACACAAAAAAGTTGGGAACCATTCCAATCAGTGTATATGTTTTTAGCATTAGGATTTGCGTCACACTGTGGACTTACTTGCTTTTTATCAGTTGCAGGGACATGACTGAAGTATTCACAGGCCTGCCAGAACAAGATATTCTCCTCACTGAATTCTTTCTTGAGAAATTCCTGTGGAGACACACATTACCAGAGTTTCGAGATGATCTCAAACTGGTGATCATTTCTTTCTCATCTCTCCAGTGCTGTTGTTTTGGAGACCAGTAGTGAGGAAAGAAATTATTGGGTGTAATGTTGTGAACAAGATTGGTGTAAGTGTAGGCGTAGGAGAGTGTAGGCGCACAGAGCGGCTCTGATCAGTGTTGAGGGAAGGTGAGGAGCGAGGTGGTTCTGGGACGCCAGAACTTGATGTTGAGCCTTCTGAAGGTGTTGTGGGCTAAATTCAAAGACACATCTTTTATGTGGGAGGTAATATAAATGAGGTGCCTATACTCAGTGAGGTTGGAGAACTGGTTCTGAACTTGAACTTAATTCAAGTCAATATAAATCAAGATTTGTTAAAAAGTTGTTTCAAATGTATTGTAAATCTGAACTTACTGCGTTTCAAGCCATATAGTGATACAACAAAATATAATAACAACGCGAATAAAAATAAATGCATGAAGGAAGGTTGTCTGTATAAGAATGCAGCACTCCAATCTAATTAGGTTTCCTTTCCTTCTCCAGTTGCATGCTATGAATCAAAACAGCGCTTCAATAAGAAACAGAATTAATAAGCCGAATCAATAAAACCCAAACAACACACAACCCTACTGCAATTCTTAAATCTGAGGCACCGAAACACTTCATATGTCAGCTGTTTTTCACAACACTGTTGGTGAAGTCTGACTGAATTTAATCAACTTTTGAAAACTTTTCTTACCGAGAAGTAGCGCACACCCACTGGATCCTGGAGGAGGCGCTCGAAGCAGCCGGCCCAGCTGGCCACGCGCTGCTCCGGAACCCCTCGGAAACTGCCTGCTCCTGGAAGACTGCCATTACTGTTCAGGCTGCTCTGGCTGCAGCATCCCTGCAACTGGACTCCACTATAGTCTGCAAGACGCAGAGAGCGAAATGAAAAGGTTAGAGGACGCTATGTTAAAGGGTAATTTCAGCTGGAGGGTCTGTTAGAGCCACTTTCCTGTTTGCCCTTTCAACCTTCTAAATATTCCTGCATTTTCCCTTTGGACAATTTTACCTTTTTGAGAAGGCAGACTGAGTTAATTTAATCCTTAGAGGAGAACACAGGTTTCATAAAGACTTTCTTCTAAGACACTACAAGCAAAATGTATCTTGTATGGGCACAGATCTTCAAAAGGACCTCACAAAAGCAGATCTATCAATGATTTTTGGAGATCTATTGAACAAATTAACCATTTAACTGAACACAAAAGGCACCATTAAAAAATTGATAATAACATTTTAAAGTGAAGTTTACAACTGATACTCTCTTAACTAACTCAAAAAATCCCTGAGTGCAATATTGCAGTTTTTCTCCATGTGTTTATTGATTTAAAAACAGTATTTTGTGCAGCTCTAGTGCTGATTTAACTAATGGCAACTACTACACCTAAAACTGTCACTACAGTCTTCAACTATTTCCATTAGTGTACATGTTTTGCCTGGGTCTTGACCTTGGAATTCGCACACTCCACCAAGTCCAAGTTGACCGATTTGTCTGGCGTCATGATATGACACAGATGTTTCTCAATTAAAATAAAAATATACTAATCAGCACCACAGTGGGACTCAATCAGCCAATCAGCATACTGGAACCAATGAAGAGTCATATGAACAATGGCGAGTGCTACAGACCTGGCAACAGATTTGGTCCCTGTTTACTTCCTGTCAGCAACTGCAGCAGGAAATACACTCGGACCCATTTAGAATGTTTATGTTGTCAAGTTTGAAATGATCTATAGACAAGATAAACGCTGCCACCCAGGCTGTTCTGAATCACCTTGTCTCCTCAATATCGCCCGACATCGTGATTTGTTTTGCGTTGCTCCGCTCCACTATGAAAACCTGGCAAGCCAGGTATGTTGGCATGACTACACATCAGTGTGGACTCAAAATGAAGTTAGGTTCAGGCAGATAAGTTGGTCCCACAGAAATCGGTTAGAGTGGACACAATGTCAGACTGAAGATGAGAACAGAGTAATGCAAAATAGGCTTACAGAAATTGCAGGAAAGCAATTTAATAAAAGTTTTGATCCTATTTGAGTTAAGAGAGGGAAGAACTTGTCATAAAATTACCTAGACACAATGTGGAGCCAAAAGGTGCCTTATAACTGCACCGAACATAATTACAAACACACACTGGATCAGACTATAAGCTAAAGGTCAAGGGATAAAAAAGATGAAGGCTAATGGCTCTTTACTGTACCCTTTGCTACACCTCTCACTGCTGAACGCTACACATTAAGTGAATGTCAAAGTTCAAAATATGTTGTGTGGGAAGTGTGGAGCACAAGGCTAACAGATCTGATTGCATCTCGAGAAACAGCAGATGTCAGTCAGTTAGTAAGAGAGGAGCAAAGAGGGGGGGCAGCGGGGAGAGGGAGCAGAATAAAAGGGAGAAGAAAGAGAGGAGACATGGCTGATTAAAGGGACACAAAAAGAGAGGAGAGCGGGTGAGGATCCAGGAGCTGCTGGTCAACTAAAGTGGGGGCTTTGGCCTGCACAGTACCTGCTATCATGGCAGCAGATGGCCACTTTAGTGCTGTGGGCCGAGTAGGCAGGGGGTAAAAACAAAAAAACACAAAAGGATCACAGTGAGATTTGTTACAGATACATAGCTGTTGTCATCCTGCTGAGAGTCAACTGGTTAGCATGGGCAACTGTGTATAAACACAGTGTATATTTGCTGTTGAGAACAGAAATGTTAGCTAGGTCAAGTAAGATACAATGCTGCATCTTGCCAATACGCCTGCACAGGAAGCAGGGTGGATTTACAAATAGGTGTAGTTCAACTGTGGCGAAATAAAAGTAGTGCAAATAGCACATGATGTCACAATAAGCCTTACAGTGAGGTCTTTCAGATTATTACTAAGGTGGCCTCTACATGACCTTTTACAGTATATATTAGTCTCTCAGCAATTAGTCCAACTGAATGAGTTGATGAGTCATTAAAAACACATGGGCTTTGAGTAAAGTATGACAATCTGAGATGCTGTGGGGTTTTCTTTTTTACAATATGAGGCGAAATGGCTGGTTTTCCCTGTGCCGCTGAAAGACCCTGTCTAAAGTTTGCTGACAAGCCATTTGTTTGGACATGGTTTAATGTATTAGGACCGAGGCTGTGGGAGACGTGTTTACCACATTGTGTGCAGCTCACTTAATGAGATGGGCTTTAGAAAGCAAACAGCCGTGCACGTCTGATGCGCATCCACAGTGAAAGGAGCGGAGCTGCAGCCCTCACCGCAGCCTCGGTCAGTCTGTTAGCAAATGTTATTAAAAACTGCTATGAAAAGGGAGGACCAGACAGCGTGTACGCTAGCCCCGACTGTAACCCAAAACACACTCGGCAAACATCCTTTGTTAATGAGGCGTGCTGCCTACAGTGAATACATCATCCTGGCTACGTCTTTTTATTAGAGCATTTTATTGAGCAACTACAAAGTTCTGTTTTGAGGGGAGTGTGGAAAAGGGGAAATAAAAATGCAAGACACTGGAAAAGCTGGACAAAGCAGTGCAAGCTGGACAAGATCAAACAGTTTCACTGTGTTAGTAAAAAGGGATGATTAAGAAAAAGCCTTTAGATCTTGTTAGCCTTACACAGCAGACATTATTTTCCACATATCAAATAAAATGGTTTAGATTTTTAAATTTTCTGTGAGTTTAAAAAGTAAAGGAATTGTACTCACCACCATCTGAGGAAGCAGCAGACTGAAAGAGAACAAAGAGAGACATGAGTGAGAGGTTGCCCTCATGACCTCCTGTGCTGAGAAAAGAGACTGAAGATAGCAGAGTCTCCTCAGGCATCCCACCAGTCGCTCTGAGGTGTGTGTCTTTGTGGTTTGCGAGTGAGAGTGTGTGTGTGCTACTGGGAAAGGGTTGGATCTCGGGTCCTCACACAAGGCCATTAATTTGTAAGTGGGTGGACCCCAGGCCTCTACCACACACAGCTGTTCACACCTCCACACCAGGACCCACCCTTTATTTTATATTATCCTCACACACACACACTCACACGGCTCTGAATGTGTGCATTCCTGCTAACTGCAGTCACAAAGATCAGAGCTCATCAAGGCAGAGCTACTTGAGAGGCCATCACTGGCTATAATGGTCCTCTTTTCACTTGCTAATTCAAGGAATGAGTGCTTCATGCATGTGCAAGCGTCCCTGAATAACAGGCAAACAGCACCTCTGGTGAGCATGAAAATTTCACTGTGACAACGTTCCATAATTGGGTGCAATTATAGCCGGGGAAAGATGCTAGATAAACACCACCCGTGTGTGATCTAGTGATGGATTGACAAATATTTACTTGGCAATACTCTCAGCTGAAATCACTGCCTTAGCTAAAACCTGTTAGCATAATGTTGGTTAGGCTAATGAAGAGATTTAAAGCCTAAATTGTGAAGCTGCCGTCGCAAATATAATTAAATGCAGGGGAGGATATGAGAGGCGCATCTTAGGGTTCTGTCCAAGAACACTCGCAAAAATCGGTGCGTTGGAGGATTCATCTGAAAAGGGGAGACTATTTCCAGAAGAGTGTTTTCTGAGCTGCCACTTCAAAGTGTGAATATCCAAGGCTGATAATACCTCTAAACAAGGCTCTTACTGCCAGGCTGGAGCCTTGGTGTGAGCAGTACATACAGTTTGTACTTTAGTGAAATTGCATAATACTGGACTGAGAGCTGCAATATTACAAAACAATGAAAATTAACACAAATGATGCACCCTGGTGAGACTATTTGGTTTCAAATGTAAAACAAGGACACGGTTTCAACAATTCTTGAGAACAGGGACGAATCATGTCCTATCAAAGAAACCCTTAAGATTATAACTTATCAACACATTAACTTAGTTTCTAGGGTGAAACATTATTTTTTTGAGAATGTATATGTATGAAAAAATATGATTTAGGCTACAAGATAATTCGATCTGCTTTCATTTTTTTTAAACTTTGGATTTGCCCTGTGCCAGGCAAGAACTTAAAACTTTAAACAATTAAAAAATATGGTAAAAGCCCTTAAAATCTTCAACTTACTGCACGTACTGATATCATCTGCGTAAAAATGTACTGCTACAGTCATCTTTGTTGGCCCTTTAAGATGCATCTCAGACTTTTGTCAACAGATTTCCACAAACACGTAATTTAATCAGGCATAAAAGAGGTTAGCGATATCTCAAGTTCTCCTATCTCACTTCCTGGTTTCCAAAAAGGCAGGTATGCTATTAAAGAACTGATTATCTTTCTATTTTTTTTGACAAATTCATTAAATAATATTGCTATCTGGTGTGTCTCAACCATAACATGCCAACTCTATAGTCCTTCTCAATTAAAACTTAAAAATAATTCTGGTTTAAACATGAGTATTTTGACTAGCATTAAGAGAACTCTTCGCAACTCTGAAAAATAAAATGGCTGCCCATTACGACTGCTGTGAATTTAATAAATATATAACATTTTGTCAACTTCGTAAGACGTCAACTCTGACATCTACATGTACGCTATTCAAAAAAGAATTAAATCACTGGGAGGTTGGCCCATTGAAAGGTTTAATAGTCACAACTTTGATCTTTTAAATCATATTTTCCCAGAGTAATTGAAGAGTAATAATAAACCCCCCAAAATGTGAGGTGTCCCAATTCTCAAGAATGAGTGCTTTGTTTTCCTGTCTGATTTTACAGTAGTTTTTCAGCTTGATCACAGCTCAAACTTCTTGAGAACCAGGTCATTCTTCACAGTTTTTGTTGCTGCCACTGGTCGTCTGAAGGCAGGCGACGTAACTGCGGTCATGTGATCTGAGGTGACGCTTCGTTCCATTTTGGGAGTGACCACATGTAAAAGCTCTATCAGACACAGACTGCTAAACCACTAATTGTCTGTCAGAGCCTCTTTACAACTGTGCTGCTGCTGAGTCCAACCCCCATATAGTCAACACCCAAAAGCCTCCCCTTCTGTGGTGGCTAGCATGTGTACAGTAATCATGGGCGGGTAGGACGAGGACCAACATGAAGCCGAAACAGAAGAGAGAGAACACCCACTCCATCTGTCTGTCCTTTAGGGTCTAAAAACGGCAAAACCTCAAGCCCTAAATATATAGAGTGTGGTTCAGTTTAAAGAACAAGACAGACATCACACAATTTGACGTAAACGTCGGTTTTGAAGAAACAAAAGGTCTCCAGACATTGAAATTCTGAATTGGAGTATTCAATTCTACTTTTAAAGTTCGATTTTACCTCTAAGGTGACAAATATGATAGATGTGAATTTCTTCAGAACTTTCTTTTATTCACAGACATGTGATACAAGTGGGAGCGTTACAATTAATCATAATGAATGCTCCTCTTTAAAAGCATGCTAGTGTCAGAGGAGAATTATGTTGATGACAAATATGTCATGAGTTGCGTAAGGAGGCTAAAGCGTCTGAATGAACTGGAAATGTTGCAAAATCCTGCTACTAGTATGGCAAATGGCTTTTCTAATGAATTATACTAAAGTTCTTAAATGGAGCAACTAAAAATATTTTAATTGTTGATTCATTTGTTTATTTATTTTTTTCAAATAAGGGCTGGGGAATATGTAGAAAATCGAATATATTATATAATCTTACATCACTTTACTGTAATGTAGCCTTTTAAACCAGGAAAAGACAATACCTACATTATCTAAAATCTAAGACGATATCTAGTCTCACGATATCACGATATAATCAGGGTTTCTACAGCTTAAGGCATGTTAGAAACAAAAAAACTTCTTAAGACCAGTTCATGTTTTTTTTTTTTCTTCAGTTACTTAGAGTTAGGGACAATTTTCTTATATCATAAAAAAATGCTTGGTCATTTGTCATTTGATTGAATGTTGTATAGGAATACCGGTATGTGTTTTGTTTTGTCACGTCATGATCTGCATGACGTTTATGCGACAGGCAGTCTGTAAATTAAAATAAATAGACGTTATCAATTATTTTGAGATTTTATAATGCCACTACTGAATTAAAAAACACTCATAAAATCCTGCGTCCCAAGTCGTATTTTTAAGACTTTTATATGGTTGATTTAAGACATTTTAATACCTACTAAGGCTTTATTTTTTAAATGTATATTTAAATGCCTTTTTTGAGGATCAGTGGGAACCCTGATTGTGCCAATAAATTGCCCAGTCCCATTTCAAGTAATGATTGTTTGTACTATAATCTGACAAAGTTGTGAAAATGCATGTTCAAAACCCCCAAATATTCACTTTACAGTCATATAAAGCTGAGAAAAGCAGCAAACCTGCACCTGAGAAGTTGTAAACAACAAATGTTTGACTGGTTGACAAATGACCTAAATGACAAATGCATTATCAAAAGTTAATTTGTAGATCATCTTATCAAGTACTTTTATATAATATGACATAATGACATCACACTTGTAAAAGTTGACCAGGCAGGGCTGGTAAATATACAGAGGGTAATGTGTGTATGTTTGCATATACGAGGCTGCAGGGGTTAGACCACACACATTACTTCCTCACCCACAAGTTCCCTGCAAAAACGAGGCCTCAGTGATGACCCAGGCACACCATCACCTCCTGTCCACACACTCTCTTCCTCTGTTGACACCTCTGGTGACGAGCCGGTGCACCATGGGTGGCTCTGCCGTACTACAGACCCTCTTTGATCCTTTTCATATAAGGCTGAATTGCAGAGATCCCATTTCCCAGCTGGAAGGGAGGCTGTTATCAACCAAATGGACAAAATCACAATTCAAGTCACAGCGAGTACCCTGGCTCCAAACGGAGCAGGATTTGGCTCTCCGGTTGGAAAACGCACTCCCAGCTTTACTGTGGTACAGCCCCCACGCCGTACAGTCTGGCATCCCGAGACACCACATGCTGAAGGAACGTACATGATCCCACCAAGACAGATTTATGTGTGTGATCTGAAGTGAGCCACCGCAAAAAAAACACACTTTCGCAGGTGTTAAACAGTTGAAGGATAAGCCGCAGTCACACAAATGTTAATGTCACCCATTAACACCTCTCGTGGAGTGTATTTCTCATCTTTTAAAAGTGATTTCTTTTATCTTTTGGACTTGTTTAGGCATGTTCCTGCCTTGAAAAACTGGGTTGTGATGTACCCTCTTCACCACAGTCGCATTGAAACAGCCTCTTCTAAACTTTTACACAAGTCAAGGCTGATTCTAGCACCCCACAAACAAACAACCACGAGTCCCCGCCGCTTCAAACAGCTGTTCTGAGTGGGAAAGAGACGAGCGACAAAGAGGGAGATTAATGAGAAAAGCAGCTGACTGAACAAAAGGAGTCTCCCGGCTTCATACAGAGGAGGAAGAGGAGGCTCGCTCGGCAAACCACAGTTTACTTACAGTGTTGAAGTTCCAGGTCCTCTTGAAGGAAAGTCTCTTTTTGAGACTCATTGTTCCCTCGTCTGCTACACCAGCAGCACACAGACAGATTGTGTGTGTGTGTGTGTGCAAACGCATACCTGAACATTCCCCACCCAAAACTCTGCAAACCATGTCTGTACAAGTCGGAGAGAGGGGAAGAGAGGGAGGGTGAGAGAGGCAGAAATCTGACAAGGTACTGGACAGAAAGAGAGAAGAAGAGGAGAAGGAGGAGGAGGAGGGGAGGGGGTGAGGAGGAAAGAAAGATTTCCTTACTCCGCAGCTGTTGCCATAGCAACCCGCCCGACAATACATACAGCCGCTGCCACA